AAACAGAACTGAACTCAGACTGAATTACAACAGTCATTAACCTGTCCTTAACAAAGCTAACCTAACTGACTATGTAAAATATATACTGGCTGGAAAAACAAAGAGCCGTGAGGGATGAACAAAACACAACACATTATCTACAAATAAACAGTCACACCTTAATGCAAAATTCAATTGTGTTTATTAGATGTCTGTAACCAGGAAGTTAACTAAATTAAAGTAAAGGTGAGCGTGAATGAAAATGATAACATCCAGTATTTGTCGGCAGTTGTGGCTTTGGGGCAGGCAGGAAATATTTCATTTATTGGGGATTATTTCTAGCGGTAGATTAATCCACATTCTGTGTTGTAGTGAGTATATTTGTGGCAGCAGGATAAGTATGTGTATGTGTGTTCATGGTTTTGAATTCAAAATAGGAAGGAGCATGTTATGTGTGCCTCTTTCATGTGTTTTTAATAGGCGATGGAGCCTATTGCACATGGCAGGTTGAGGGCATGTGGGTATATTAAAATACAACTATTTGTCATTTTTTCTCTTGGTTTGGACAATATAAACCAAATAACAGAGACCCGTAGTCTCTAGATGCAACATGCAGCAAGCAAAATTCTTAATGTGTTTTAAAGTGTGAGGTGACATTTTTGCAGGAACTTGCCTAGCAGTATATTGAAGGGCTTTATAACCCACTGTTTGACAAGAACAACAACATATATCATTTAATACAGTTGGGAATTCAAACACAAATAGACATATATGTGTATATGTGAAATAAATATTCCATGAACAACATCTTTCAGCTGGACAAGCACATATTTGTTGCATGTACTGTAGCTCCCTGTTGTCAATGACAGTCAATGGTGTAACATTGAAAGTGTGAACATGTGTGTTGCCCTGGAGTGCATCAGTCCAGTGAACCATGAGGCAAATATACTGTACTATACGGAGAAAGAATAGCATGAAGTCCTCTGACGACCATGGACTATGTTATCTGCCCCTTTAACATGATGGCTGGAGTTTTTTGTAACCGCAAATCAGTTCTGCACAAATGAAGATGTTACACTTTACAAGAATAGAAAAGATAGATTATGTGATACAGTAGTTTCATAATCTTTCAAACCTCAGGGGGGCACAGGATTAAAGCATGGAAAAACATGGAAAATACACATCCATACCATCTTCTCCCAATACTTACAAGTACTACAAGTAATATTAGATGTAGATATTAGAAGTAGAAAGTTCCACTAGTTTGGTCCAACCAGTGTTTCTTTCAGTATATTGAAATGTTTTTTGGCAGCATCATGAGAACAACGTCATTGTTCAATTTATAGACAAAAAAGGATCAGGCCTTCAGATAACTTAAAGGTCCCATGTCATGGCCATTTCTACTGATCATAATTCCATTGTTGAGGTCTACTAGAATAGATTTACATTGTTCAATGTTCCAAAATCACATTGGTTTTCTCATACAGCATATCTGTATAGTACTGTATGTGTATTCACTCTCTGTCCTACACACCTTGTTGGAGCTCCTGCAAGGAGAAAAAAAAACGTTTTTTTTTCAATATTCTTTTTTCCAATATTTTTTTTGTTATATTTTTCATTAGTTTTACCAAAATAACTAATTTAATTGTATTTAAAATAACATTTCCAAAGAAATAAATCCTTCGAATCTGCCTGTTCAGTTTCTGTTTGAATGTGAAGGGTTAAATTAAAGAAGCTCGTCTCTGCGAGTTGCTGTGAAGATAGGAGCTGATTGGTGGTCCAGCTATGAATTCACAGAGGGCCCGCTATAGTAACTCAATGAGAGAGTAATGTCAAATGACAGTACAGTTGACCAATCATATCTTCCCTCTAAATGGGTGGGCTTTATTTTCGCACTTTATGACAAGTTCTGCCCGCTGTGAAGTTTATGCATGTGTATAGAGTGGTGCAGTGACGCGTCCTAAAACCCGGAAGTAAGCTGCGCTCGGGTTCCCTCGACAAAAAAGCAATGGGATTTCTCCATAGGATTTTGGAAAATAGCTTGAAATAAGGTCTGTGGAAAACGAACCTGTTAGATAAATGCACGTTTTGTTCAGCCGGATAATATCCACATGTCTACCCTACTTTTATAATTTTCTAATCATAAATCTAATCGATAGATTTATGATAGATAGATTTATGATTAGCATAAGTTCGTTCATGATGGCTCATGTCAGTGATAGTGATGACATCGTTGCGAAATTATTAACCGAGTCATTTTCAAGATTGAGTTACAATGATAAATTGATGAGAAAAGATAAGGCTGAGTGAGTGTGTGTGTGTGTGTGTGTGTGTGTGTGTGTGTGTGTGTGTGTGTGTGTGTGTGTGTGTGTGTGTGTGTGTGTGTGTGTGTGTGTGTGTGTGTGTGTGTGTGTGTGTGTGTGTGTGTGAGAAAAGATAAGGCTGAGTGAGTGTGTGTGTGTGCGGAGCTCCGCGGATTGGTCCATTGGACCAATTGGTCACAAGACCCGGAAGGAAACAATGGAAAAAGAGAAATGTCCAACGAGGCGTTCTGGGGCAGCATAGACACGTCTTTTCTGTGTTAGAGTTTTACTCGCTACAGGGTGTACTTTGAGGGTTTGTGACTTTGCAGACCGTTTACATGCAGAAAAAGCTACATAACACACAAGGGGACGGGTAATAACCAGAAAAGCATGACATGGGACCTTTGAAGGGGACCTATTATGCAAAATCCACTTTTCATGTCTCTTCTACATCAACATGTGTCCCCTCTGTGTAAAGAGATTCTGAAAATTTCAGGAAAAAAGATTCGCTCTCTTTTTGTCCTGACCCATTTATATAAAAACCTGTCTGAAAATGAGCTGATCAGATTTTGGCCACTTTATGATTATTAGCCATTAACCAACCAAGGTAACCCCCCCCCACACACACACACACCTTATCACCTGAATCTCCTCCTAGAGCACCATTGTGTTCTTTTTAACCAAATATCTCTCAGAGGGGCGTGGGGAGGGGCTCCTTATTTTCATCTAAAGTAACAGACAGAGAATCAGCACTTTTGAAACAGGGCTGAAACAGAGGGGATTATGGGATGCTGCAATGATCTATTTGGTATATCGAGCAAAACACTTCAGAGACATGTTTTGTACATATCTGACACCTATAATATATTGATGAAAATCAGTATAATAGGGGACCTTTAACTAAGTTATTAATATTTTTAAGGATGTGTTTAGGAGCATTTCCCGTAAGCAAGCATGTTTTGTCATGACTGTAATATATCTGAGGACAACAGGCAGAGGTGGGAGTAAGTCCTACATGTGCAAGTCATGAGCAAGTCTCAAGTCTTGACCTACAAGTATCAAGCAAGTCCCAAGTCACTGTGGTGAGAGTCAAGCAAGTCAAGTCAAGTCAAGTCATATAAAATTCTGATGAATAAGCCCAGGTTCCGCATTTAAATCAGTTAAAAGACAGTGGTTATGAAAATGGATTTAACCCACACTATGATCTTCATTACATACACAGTTAATCATTTGAAATGTAATTTAGACCGATGACAATCATATTAGATTCATATTAACCCTAGAACTGCAGACAATATAGCTAGGACTCAGTCAAAAAGTCTGTTCAAAAAGGCAGAATTCCAGGTAAGAAAATCATATACTGTATGGCATTTGCCATTACACATATTTAATTTAAATGTATGTTAACACTAGAACCGCCAACAGCATCAGCACCTACATAGATATCATTTTCAAATCATTTAATTTGTTCCTCTTCATAATTTCCTTATAAACTAAGTAGGACGATTTAAAACTCACTTAATTGGGTTAATTTTGAAATTGCTTCAGTTTATCATCATAACAGATCAAAAAGTTCATATTCATTTTACAATAAATCAAGGAATGATGCACTTCTACAAACAAAAACAACATAATTAAAACATTTAAAACAAACTACTAAAAGTAGATGAACTACATTATTCAAAAGTTTACAGTAACTTCTGATAACACAGGGGAAATAAACGAGGCATCTCTTTTCCTCTCTCTCTCTCCCTCAGCCCGTCAGTATCAGGGTTAGTACAAATGAATCCCTTGGCGGTTCTAGTGTTAATTTACCGTTTTGTCTTCTCTTTGCAATGCTTAATCGATTTGAAACCAAGTCTAACGTAGCTTAAACTTAACGTTAGCTTTCTAGCTAACACAACACATTCACGCACCTTTCTCTGTGGGGTTTTTTGTAGTGACGAATGAAGTTGGATGTTGTGGTGGTCGTGTCACTGATCTTTATGCTGCAGACCCTGCATACCGCTGTTCTCTTCTTATTAGCGTCATCGACAACATAATCCTTGAATCCAAACTTCACTATTTGTGAAGTAACGCTAGCCGCTGCCATGTTAACTGACACTCCTGCCGTCTAGTGGGTTGCCAGGTTTGCGCGCATGGCGCTATAATCACCCAATCACGTTTCTCGAAAAAACTAAACGTAATATCTCACTACAAAAACAAACGCAAATATTTAATTTTAAACAGACAAGTCCTTTCAAGTCATCTGTCTCAAGCTTAAGTCAAGTCTCAAGTCATGAATACCAAGTCAAAGTCAAGTCAAGTCTTTTATCAATATTAGTCAAGCAAGTCTCAAGTCAAAAAATATGCGACTCGAGTCTGACTCGAGTCAAGTCATGTGACTCGAGTCCCCACCTCTGACAACAGGTATCAACAGGTTCCCATGCAATGCTAACCAAGCTATGCAACACAACTGCCTCTAAAGAACAATAAGGATATTGTTTCATTCTTCACTTGAAACATGTTTGTGAGTGGTTCAAGGAAGTTTTGCTCGAAAGTGAATTTTTGGTGGTGATCGCAGATATTGCTTTGGTGTGACAGAAAATATTTGACCACAGTAAAAACAATGGAGAGATTGTTGACCTTGTTGTATTTGAACTTTGTCCTTCTTTTTAAATTAGATGTTTATATCTAAATAAATCTAGTAATTTCCCTCTTTGCCTGTCTTTCTTCTAGCCAATGAAAAATATGTATGCGGATGACGGCTCTTCTCTGTCTTCACGACTTGGCCCATACTTCTCTGACGGGCGGCGCCGGGTGGACTACGTGCTGGCATACCAAATCCAAAAGCCTGCCAGCATCCGGCGCCAGTCCTCCAGGTTCGGAGATAATAACTTCATCCGACGGATCCGGCGCAGCCTGAGCATGAGAAGCAGCCGTGCCCCCCTGCAGCCAAAAGAAGACCCTGAGATCGCCGCCCAGGATCAACGGACTGACTACCATGAGGATGACAAGCGCTTCCGGAGGGAGGAGTTTGAGGAAAACCTCCTGGAGACGGGGCTGGAGCTGGAAAAGGACGAAGCGGTGAGATATAAATGTGATTTGACCTGTCTTTCAAGGTTTCAGTTGTAGCACTATACCTTTGCATTTTACAACATTAACATTGGCAATACTTGAAATTGTTAGTCCTATTTGAAACTGACTCCAGGCAAGTCATCCTGAGCATAACGTTGTTATCCAGGTAGATTAGCAAGATTGCCCTTGGATAGCAGTGTTGCAGTTAAACATGGTAAAATAAGAAATACAAGATCAAACCTTTTTTTGTATCTAACATAAACCTCTTTGTCTGCTTAGTTTACAAAGTATATTATTTGTTTTTTCTCCTGGGAAATGGAATTGAGTGAGAGTAATAGATCTGAAATACATTTCCATTATTTCTTCTTATAAGTCTCAAGATGGACTACCTGCTATAAAATAGCTATTATACGCTCTTTCTTCAGCAACATGTAGGATCAAAGTAAGTCCAAAGTGTCAGCCATTGACAAAGCATTGAGTGTACTAGTCCCTACGTGGTCTGAATTAATATGTCTGCAGGAGTGTGTGATTTTGTGCACAGTATGTAACATTAGGTGCTCAGTGTGTAACATCATTGTTTTTAACAGGTATGTGTGTACAAAAGCATATGATGATAATAAAATAGAGGAACTAAAGAAATACAAATAAAATCTGAAAAAACAGGAACAATAATCATATTACTAAAAGAGGACAGAATATTATGGGTCACTGAGTGTTCAACAACACTAAGAGGCTGTGCTTGAGCTGGTATAATAAACAATGTTCACCAGGAGGATTTAGCTTGTAAGTGGGCAAACATTTGCTAATTAGCATTTAACACAAAGTACAACTGATATTTGACAAGAGGGAAATCGTTGACCCGTTTCTGGCACGAGAAGTAATGTCAGAGGACTGAATACTTTCAAACATATTGTGCAAAACTGTGAGAAGTAGCAGAGAAAGAAAATACATTTTGCCTTTGATTCCAGCGCATATTATGTAAGCAAGTCTGTTTTTGATTGGCTCTAGCATAAAACTTAATAGGGGCTTTCACACCGGAGTACTTTTACCCGTACTTTTCCCTTTTAGTTCCGATAGTGCCTGGAATTTTGCGTTCACACCAAAAAGAGAACTTAGTTCAGAGAACTTTTACCCCCATTTTTAGTTCCTGGGGAGAAAAAAGTACCAATTTCTATTGGCTGGGCGAATTGCAAACCACGTCCCGTAAAACTCTGAAAAGTGTTGTGAAGCCGCCATTGTATTTGCTGGCATTAGCATTATTAACATTAGCATTAGCCCGGCGCTCCAACGGAGAGAGAATAACTTATGGCAACACAAAAAAAAACATTGGAGCGGTGGAGTGATGAGGAGGTGTCGGTGTTCTGGCGATTTACAACTCCGGGGACTTCCGGCTGGGGACTTCGGGTGGCAGTATACGCCGTGAAGTGGTTTGCGGCCTGCCAGTAAACCCAAAGCAGAAGAAGAAGAAGTGACGTCAGCGGCTTCATTTGCGTAATCTTCCCTCAGGGACTTATTCCGGTGTGAACGCGATCTGTACTTAGTTCCATGGGGGTACTAAGTGCTGGCACTAAGTGCTGGCACTAAGTGCTGGGCACTAAGTACGGCAAAGTACTTGGTGTGAAAGCGGCTTATGAGACAAATTATGTTGTTGCCTTTATAACTTCAAAGGAAAGGCTTATTTTAGGCAATGTAGTTCTTCTGAGTATATGCTTACATTTTAAATACTGATCAAATTGGTTTACATTGTATTAAGGGTAGAACAGACTGATCTATTGACACTCTTTTTAATTTAATCCCCGTCTTTAAAACTGACTCCAGAGAATTACTCTGGTGTTTATTTATACATCTTATCTTATCTAAACGTGGATGTTTGGTCGGCTATATTGTTAGAAGCTCTTGTGTCACTACTGAGTATTTGCTACGTGAGTGGACCCATGAACACAGGGACTATGTTTTCATTAACAGTGAACCAGAGCTATTTGTCATCTCCTCGTCCGTTTTCTGTAGAAAAGCTAAATGGGGGGAAATTGACTCTTAGCACAGTGAATCATCCAATAAAAACTGCACGAACAAACCTGTGACATAATGTAGCTTGATATTTAACATATTTAAAATAAAAATAAAAGCTTTTAGCAACTCACAGTGTCAGGAGATGTCACTCTAAATGGTTTGAAATGTTTGGGCAAACTTTGGAGAAGGTGAACTATTGAGGACGATGAAGGCAGGAGTGTGCCTATAGATCATATTCTGTAGGCTGATCCATGATGGCAGCCTGATGATAGATATAATTAGGTTTCCTTTTTCAAGTCCATGGTTTTCATATATCTTGCCTTTGGGTTTTTATCACAAAATAATATTGCCACTTTTGAAGGAAACTAAAATCATAAAGCTGTGTTTATATTTTGCCCATTTAGTTTAAGTGTTGGTGGTGTTAGGTTTGTTCATGTGGACTAGCATCTACTAAGAAAGGTATAATCCAATGTGGAAGTGCCCTAAACCTGCATGTTGTTTCTTAATTGATTTATTATGGTCTGTTAAGGTCCCAAATGCTAGTTTCAAGTCTTACGACATTATGTACATTTTGTAAATATGGTTTCTTTGAAAGTGAAAAATACGTTAAAGCATAGGCTTTAGGTCTTGGCTAACTTGTGATTGACAGATCCATTCAGCCCAATGTTGAATGGCTACATAATTTGAGCTTTCACGGCCAAAATAGTGGTTTTGTATTTGTTTAGCTGCCTACCTTTCACCACTGCATGGCTGCTGCATATTCTTTTGATGACAAATCTGGTTACGTGGACATTAACTCAAGTCTGGCTTGAAGGTGTCAGATACAGCACTAAGCAAGAATTGAACTACTCCTTAAAAAGTGCAGCTATGTTCTAAAAAACATTGTTGCATTCTGAAAAATAAATAAAATAACATATGTCTCTTATTGACTTGAGTATATCAACCACAATTCTGTATTCTGTTTTTAATAAACAAACATACAAACCCAATGAACATTGCCGGATCCTTCCAGCTGCAGCAACCTTATTTCACCACGGATTTACTCTATCAGTCATTAGCTGTCAGCTCACAAACAGAAAATATTGATTTTATATTTAAATAACTGGAAAATCTCAGTGATGTATACCGTTAGTCAGCTAGTTGGAATTTGGTGGTTATGTATTTCTGTATCCAGACAGGTCAGTGTGCCGAGCTGAAGTGTGTGAAGTGAGTCTGGCAGTGTGTGAGTGGTTTTACATAACAGCAGGCCTAGAGGCTGCAGAAACATTCCCATATGCAGCAATAAAGATGTGAGTTTTTTTTTGCAGAAATAGCTGCAGAGGCTTTTTCTTGGACTATACAAGTAGAGATTTCAGAACAACAACTTTCTGTTCTGCCAGCTTGTTTGTTCTGATATGTCAACAAAATATGCATTATTTATAGATGTAGTTTTAGAAAATAATGAATTGTCCCAATTGTATTTATTCCGTTTATTTCTCAGGGACATTGCATATTCATGAACATGACTGTGAATATGTTATTTACAGTTCAAAGTGGGTGCAAACAGAATATTATTTTAATATCCAAACTGTGTTTGTATTTCAGACTAAGATCTCTGGAATTGGCTTCTTGAAGATCCATGCTCCTTGGAACGTTCTGTGTCGTGAGGCTGAGTTCATGAAGCTCAAGATGCCAACCAAGAAGGTACTCCACCCATCAGTCAATCGCCAATTTGTCAAATGCATATTTCCGGTAGCTTTTTCTTGTCATTAGGCTAATTGAACTGGTTCCCAGAGCTGCACTGCTTTGTGACAAGAGTGAAGACAAATGTTTCCTGTTCTGAGGCCAATTTGCGGTGACAGCTCAAACAAGCCTTGTAATGTTAATTTGATAGAAATCCAACAGGATTGCTAAATGCATAAATAACCAGTGGAAATGTGTTTAATTCCATATTGTATCATGTTTTCGGTATTTATAATAGTAGTGTGTGTGGCAAGAATCTCACTACATCTACCTTATCATGAATTCATCAAAATGAGAGGTTTTGTAAATTGGAACAAAACACAAAAATACGAACCACATTGTCTGAAAATTGTGCATTTCTGTAGATAAATACCAGATTAAAACCTCAGCAGTCAGGATTTTAGGTTCAAAGGCTATCCTATTCTTCAATTAGACATATCTAATGGTTCCAACTAAGTCAAGAGCTCTTCATTTAGTAAAGGTGTCCTGCAAGGGCCTAGTTTTGGTCCCATTCTGTTCACTAATTACATGCACACAATATTTTGTCCTAATCTGGCCATTGTAAACATAGTCTGGTTTTGAATCATTTTTATCCTATAACATTTTAAGCTTTTGAAAAAAATTCTGATGTCAATATGACCACCTTTTTTAAGTATATGCAGTGAAATAACATGCAGTCCTCTGATTTCCAGCTAAATGTAGTTATTTGACCTCCCCTGCAGGTTTACGAGGTGAAACAAGGCAGTAATCTGGTGGAGAAGATCCGACTGTTCATCCACAAAGTCACAGCTCCCCTCCACCCCAAAGTGGACGCCAACCGGCAACAAAGCACCAAGTCCCTCTCTCACCCCTTCTCCAGAGAGAAGCAGCATCTGTGAGTCACATCTCTGGGGACTTTCTGTCTGTAATCTTTCTAACACATGTAGCTTTGTGCATCTTTGCTATGCTATGTCCATGCTAAAAAGATTTAACACATGTGATGCACACTTTCTGACAGAATGTTTACAGGACACTTATACATTGATGCAACCTCATGAATGCACTTATTTTACAATGGAAGTTGTGAGGTATATTGGACGATTGCCATCATAGTAAAATGTACCTTGTTATCAGTCTATCCACCAGCAAAGAAATAGGCACAAAGGGAACAAAGCCTTTGCCATAGATTGATACACTTAAAATGTGTATTTTTTTTTAACATGAGGTGTTTTTGACAGCTAGTGTTAGGAGTAGAACTGATATAGATAGTTTAGATAGGCCTAAACCAAAAGTAAAACAAAAAGAATATAATTAAATGTCCTGCAAATGGTCTCATGACATCTCTATTTACTGTGGATTGTTAACTTAAAATGCTAAGATGTTTCTGAACATGAAATTGATTTTTACATCAGCATTTCAGTCCATTCCAAATCTAGTACACTGGATCGACACAATATAACTCTGCAACAACATATTGACCATTGCATCAGCCCAGTTAGCGACTAGCTGGTGAACAGAGTGGTGCATTTAGCAGCTAAATAAACATTATTTTCTCAGGACTTGTTGAAGAGCAAGAGTTAAGAAAGTAAATATTGGACCTACATTTGTCGCGTGGACACATCTTGATGTGAATGCTAGTGTTGCCTGGTGTGTTATGGATGAGGCAACTATTCACTTATACAGTAGTCTGTATCACCTCCACATGTAGCTCACACCTCTGTTCTCAACTTTGAAAAGTGGAAGAGCCTGAAAGTGCTGATACACAACTTTGAAATATCTATAGTTACAGTAGTTGGCTAAAGGATTCAATGTTATCCAGGTTGCTGAAGAAACCGTTATCTTTTACATGGGTGTAAACACTATTGTATATAAATGTAGGTTTAACCCTCCTATTGTCTTCGTTTTCCCCCCCTTACTTTGGTGTTCGCGGTCAAATTTGACCGGTCCTGTTTTAACTGCTATTACATTAACACAAAAACTATTAATCATCACCAAATTTCATTTAACACCCTTTCAAACTGTACATATTGTATCAGACTACTGGTATACAGGAAAAACTGCAGTAAATATACAAAGAATAGACACTGAACATGTATTGCGTGTGCCAGGTGTGATCCATGTGGGGGGATGGGCACATACGAGCGGGAAATGTGTCAAATTGTTCTGTGTGTGTGTCTGTGTGTGCCAGGTGTGATTCACATGGGGGGATTGGGCACATACGGGGGGACACACATATATAGTGTGTGTGTGTGTGTGTGTGTGTGTGTGTGTGTGTGTGTGTGTGTGTGTGTGTGTGTGTGTGTGTGTGTGTGTGTGTGTGTGTGTGTGTGTGTGTGTGTGTGTGTGTGTGTGTGTGTGTGTGTGTGTGTGTGTGTGTGTGTGTGTGTGTGTGTGTGTGTGTGTGTGTGTGTGTGTGTGTGTGTGTGTGTGTGTGTGTAGATTCAAAGAGAATGTTCCAAAACACATCATTTACCTCTGACCTGGAGTGTTTTGAGATGAGTTGGTTGCAGAGTGTTGCAGGAATTTTGGTCATCCCTTTAAATATCAGTAAGCAGAGCCATGTCTGTGAAGGTGCCATGTATCAACTGAATTCTGCATATAGTGCAGTAGGATAATCCAGTAAAACTTCCATAATAATCTCACACTGCAGTAAGATATTTCAATAGATACAATATTCTGAAGCGAGAGCTCATGGTGAAATATTCTCTCCAGCTGGTAGATGAAAGTTATTTCTGTGTGATTATAAGAATATTGTGTTGGATTTGAAACCTAAAAGAAGAATTACCATGTTTGATGATGTTTCACCTCTGAGTAAAGCAAAGTAGCATTACCCACACAGACACACACAGAGGTAGCAACCTCAGAGGTGTCAATTGGAATCAAATCCTGACAGGAAGGCTGAAGCGTGACGCTCTCCTGCTGCATTCTGCTGAAGCTCCCATTCCTCAGCTTTCTCTGCCTCCAGGAAATGAACACAACTCGCCTGAATTGCAAAAGTCATTTACATTTTCTCAACAGTGTGTTGGAGGATTTTGGAAAAGGCAAAATAAAGGTTTAGACTCATTTAGTGGATAAACTACAGACAGAAAAAAGGACTTATTTGCTGCTTTCAGTCCCAACAAGTAAAAGCATTTTGAAAAGGCAGTGATCAGAGAGGAAGAATGTCTTAGCATAAACGTCAGCCTGCTGGGATGTATGGAGGAGAGAGTGGGCAGTGGGCATCTATATTTACAGCTCTGACTAACAACTAGCAGGAGATCTCCCTCCACATATTTTCCATCACTTCATCTTCATCAGTACTGCCACTTCCCATAGATTAAGCCTAGATTACAGTAACAAATGTCTTCAGAAACTACATGAACTCAATCTGCCTTTATCAGACAGTGCCGTGCCTGTTCCGCCCATTGATTGGCCTCCAAGGCAAGGCAAGGCAAGGCAAGGCAAGGCAAGGCAAGGCAAGGCAAGGCAAGGCAAGGCAAGGCAAGGCAAGGCAAGGCAAGGCAAGGCAAGGCAAGGCAAGGCAAGGCAAGGCAAGGCAAGGCAAGGCAAGGCAAGGCAAGGCAAGGCAAGGCAAGGCAAGGCAAGGCAAGGCAAGGCAAGTTTATATAGCACCTTTCAACAAGGCAATTCAAGGTGCTTTACAAAAATGAAAGACATTCAGACAAAGGCATTTAAAAACAGTCATTAAAAAGCAAAGATAAAAAATAATAAACATTAAAAGAAAAAAATACATGAATAGAAAGTTACAGTGCAGTTTAAGATATGAATAGTTCACACAGAAGTTCCACTTTACTGATGCCTTTCTTTAAGGTTTCTCCGAACATGAGCTGTGTACGCTTGTATGGCACATACGTCCCGAGCAGCATACACAGAGAAAACCAGCCAGGACAAAGTCCCCAGACACTGATTCCCTGGTGTTACTAGCCCCAAATGTTCATTAACCAAAAACGAACCACAACCGCTCAGTTTCAATTAAAAGCAACGGCAAAAAGAAAAGTCTTCAGCCTGGATTTAAAAGTAGTAAGAGTTGCAGCGGATCGGCAGGTTTCTGAGAGTTTGTTCCAGATATTTGGAGCATAATAACTGAACGCTGCTTTACCATGTTTAGTTCTGACTCTGGGGACAGAAAGCTGACCAGTCCCTGAAGACCTGAGAGATCTGGATGGTTCATAATTTAGCAGTAGATCAGACATGTATTTTGGGCCTAAACCATTCAATGCTTTATAAACCAGCAGCAGTATTTTGAAATCTATTATTTGACACACAGGAAGCCAGTGTAAAGACTTCAGAACAGGAGTGATGTGATCCACTTTCTTAGTGTTAACCTCTTAAGGACGACGGTCCCCCCATTGGACCCCTCCCACCGTTTTTTTTTTCGAGACAATGTCTCAGGGCTTCTTAACATTTATGAAACTATTAATGTGTAGCACCAGATTAACGGGAAGAATCTCAGCTAACTGAAGATATGAACCATTTTTAGCAAAACAAAACACAAGTCTCATAAGAAGAGTCTAAATGACCCCTGAGCGAAAAAATTCTAACGCACTGCGGCACACAATTCAAGATAAAGATACCCTTATTACTTATCGTAGCTGCACATACAATATATCCGATTAAAGCTGAGACTCCACAGATTATTTAGGTATAGTATCATCACTGAGCGATCCGAACTTGCGACAGGGGAAGCAAACACAGACATCACAACACGTACCTTTACGGAGCTTTTATGGCAGATCGTCTCACCGTAGCTGTCAATTAGGTCAAAAGACGTGTTCAATGGCATTAAAACGAAAAAAAAAAATGCTACAACTGTTGATCCATAGGTTAATAATGTATCTGTGCCTTTGAAAAAATTATTTATAATCCATAATTCCATTTTTATGTAAAAATCGGAACGGAAAAGTTAGCTGCTAATGGTAGCCACCAGAGTGTATGCAGCTTCCGGTTTTGGTAACGCGTCACTCTCACTCCTTATTTGTTAAGGTGTTGGTGTGTATATAACTTTCCCTCTATTCCATTGGCTCTAGCGGTTATAAAGAGATTTCATTCATCAACATCGACCAAGGGGGGCCAGAGATAGGTCAAATCCACCCAAATGACCCCAGAAGTGGGGGTTTTTGGCTAAATCTCTCTAAAAAGGTCAAATTTTGTTTTGGATCAATCTTGATACAGGGCAAGGGTGTAACTTTGGTTTGAGAAGTGGAGGGGACACAAAACAGGGGGTCCTCCGCAATGAAATATTTTCTCAATTTAATTCCATTTCCTGCCTTTCTACAAATATATTAGGGACTATAGTGTTAACAAATCCAAGAAAAATGTGTAGTGTATATAATGAGTGTGCACACTTATCTAGTATCCTATCCATGTGAACCTGTTTTATTTGTGATTACCTGACATCCTCTAGGGGGGTCCGGGGGCATGCACCCCGGGAAGATTTGTTTCTTTAAATTGAAGTTGAATGCATCAATCTGGTGCACTTTGAGGGCAACATTAAGAGATTTATGGATACAGCTCTCAACACTCATATGAAACAGAACTGTATATATTTCAATAATCAAAAAGCCATTAGAATATGCTCACAACCAATAACAAATCATTGATAAACTCTCCTATCTTTATCTTACCTAGTCTGCATTCTTTCTTTTTATTTATGCATATTTGACTAATCACTCCCCTTTCAAACTGTGTTTTTTATTTTTGTACTGACCTATAGTACACATTGGAAGGATTTCTTAACTTATTTTATATACAACTATATATTACATAGATGGAAATATTTGTTTACATACTGTAGATGACCAAACCGTTTGAGACCCACTGAGATAACTAGACTAAAGTTTACAACCTAATCCCTCAGAGTCCTTTACCTCACTGAGCTGACGTTATCGCTCTCAGTCCGACAGGAGAGGACTCTCCCTCTCCTTATTGTTGAAACAGCTACTAATCTCCATTAGCTCCGAGCTAGCACCAAATGCTAACAACGTGAAGTCGATCGGATGAACAGGTGACGAGAAAAAGGATGGACAGACTGGGGGGCCTGCTAATCGAACAACCCATTTCAATTAAATAGTGTAACCAATTCAATGATCAATTTACCTTCAGATTGGGAGGCAATTTATTTTTGGGCCGTTTGGAGCTATAGATTCAATAATCAATTTTGAGAATGTTATTATTAATGTTGCACCCCAGGTTAAGTAGTTTTTCTGGAAAAGGATCAACCACAGGCATATGCAAGCTCTTCATTAAGTAGTTAAACCTTTATAAGTAGTCATTCATTTCAAACATATTCCCGAAGGACACTTAGAGTGGCATTTCTATGACAGTTACAGTACAGTCCCATTTTCTTTGTCAACTTGTCCGACTGAAAACCCATTTGAGTTAGTGTGATTCAATATTGGTGAAGCGCCTTAGAGATGGAAAATGTGCCAATAATGTATCCTGCTAACTGCAGCCAGGATGGTTGTGCCACAGCAGTAAGCTCATGCACAAAGCTCAACTATTAGAAAGATGGAGAGAAAATGTTGCTGTAGCAGCAGTAAGTAGAAAAATAAACTGTTGGAAACATTTTCTCTTCATCTCTAAAACGCCTGCCCATATTGTCTGACTCTCTTTTTGATCCGTCAAAGTCCGTTTTTGGGTGAAGCTTTTCAGTGCAGGCAGTTGCCAATGCCGGAATAGCAACTTTCCTGCAGGATATTCTGCATTTGTATCAGGCCTTTACCATGTTCCAAGATATTTAAATTCACCTGCCTTTGTTGAACAGCCAATAGTATTGCTTTCTTTATTACATGATCCATGAACCGCCAAAGCCTAGATTTTCTGAAGTCTGAAAACCAAGAGGAAGAACAGATATCTTGTTTCATCTCAGTCCACTTGAATTATAAAAGACTGCAAGGTTATTATGGAATGTTTGCCCAATATGTCTAAGTAGTATATTGCCTACCTCAGCTTTAATGCCGCCTGTCAGTGAAGGCACCATTTGGACTTTCAGCCAACACAAGCGCTGAGTGACTGACAGCAGCCGCCCACTCAGTCAGTGCAAACACTTTCCAGTGCTTTTTTCTAAAGATGCTTCCCCATTGCTGCGCAGCAGGCGCCCTGACAACCGCCCTGACAACCGCCCTGACGACCGCCTACCTGCCAGGGCGGTCCCCAAATCAGCACTGTGGCTTGGACAGAGCCAGGTGGTTACCACAAGAAGTTCAGCACAGTGATACAAATATATCTGAATAGACCTAATATTATGATCAGACCTGCTTCCTCTCTGCCCTTTAGTCGAATAAAGTAGACATTGAGTTATGTTGAATTTTGTTTACCCCATATGAATAACGCTAATTTTAACTGAGTCGGACTGCTGTCTTTAAGTAAAGTACGTAAATAAGTAACAATTATATAATTCAACTTTATCGTGAACTAATTATATATTACTGAAATGAAGTATGTTATTTAAAAAGGGACTTGTATCTAAAGTGTTAGCAGCAGATTGCCAAAACAGCTGTGTTTTGGTAATAAAATCTTAATTATTTTATTCTTATATTTCATGTGATCACATTCATTGTCAGCAGTATTGTTTAAAATTATGTTCTGTTAATTAAAAAGGGTTAAAGGGGGATGTAAAGCATTGGTTAACACATCGCGCAATATATTCATACTGATCTAAATACAAATAAATGTAAGTAACAAATACAACCATAGACACATATATATTTCTTCCACCCTCCATTTCCCAGGCTTCAAAAACTTCAAAAAATTGTAAAAATGAAATAAAATACATTAAAGCATTATCATTAGATTTGAAAAGGCTGATTTGCCCTTTTGAATATTTCATTATGCATTTATTGGGTCACTTTGTTTATGAACATAACTCTATGTGCAGTACGCCCTGAATGGCAGTAAATGTTGCCACTGATGGAAATCACTGCAGCATATTTCCTGCTCATGAACATCATTAGCAGGAGACAGGGGTGGCTAGGATGACAGGAGTTTATGTGCTCCACCCTTCATTATATCTCTGTTGGAAATTGCAGCTGGCGGTAATGAAACATATTGACAAAGCCTCACTTTAATTGTTGTACTTTAACATACATCATACATTTTCACTGTCATTTTCCGTTTGGTTCTTTTTTTGCGAGTTTTTTTGTTTTACATTAACAATTTAATCTCATTCTACATGTTATTCAATCATTTTTTTAAACTCACTTAATCTTGGTTCTTTCACAGAGAAGAGGTTGTTGCTCCACATTCCTTTAATCAGAACAGAAGTATGAAAAAGGTATTTCTCTTTCAGGCTTTAAACTTTAAAGGAGGACCTCAATGGTCTTTTTAGGTTAAATACAAATAATATAAAAAACATATTGTATGCTGAACAACAAAGGCCAATTTAGCAATTTCTATACCATTATCTGTGGTATTGAAGTGGCCTTGGATAAAGGTGTGAGCTAAAACAACATGAAATGTAATTTAATTGAATGCACCATAACCCTGCAGATGTTGAATGTTATTCATCTTCTTTTATCTTACCTCTTCTAGCATATTTGATAAGTATGCTACTATCAGACTGCACTCTATGTACCTGCTACTAAAACTGGACCTGTTGTGTTCTTTGTTGCCAGGTTTGATCTGTCTGACAGGGACAAGTTCTTTGACAGCAAGACCCGGAGCTCAATAGTAAGTATTGGTTGAAGGTGAAGGGAGACTTTTAGAAACAGTTTTAAATCCAACATGTTGACAGCATGTTTATACCATGTTTGGCACTGCCCCTCTTAGTCATATAGTTGGTTGCTTTGGTCTTAAGACTATTATTTCTTTAGTAGATTAGTCACTTTTAAATGCTTTCTTAATGCTGGCTTATTTCCAAGAAACTTCTGTAAACACAATATTTAAATAGGTGCTTTATCATGCTTCCTTGTGGAAAAACTCAGTTTATTTAATCAACAAAATTATTAGTTGACAAAATCGTATGAATATTATTCGACTTTCTTTTGGCCAATACAGCACTCGTTAATGCATTATTTATTGTAACGTCCACTTTAAGCAGCTGTTTACAAATGTGCTTTCCTGCTCATATCTATCAGTAAAGAACACCCTGTGCTCCCTGGTGTGCACTTTGCTCCAATAGCACCCTTTGCTTCTGTTTGACTCCAGTGAAAAACGAATGCGTTCTGTAAATCTGCGTATACATTTGCAACACTGACATACACCTACACAGCCTCCTGAGACTAATGACTGGGTAATGTGATTGGCTTCTCATTATTGGATGGAGCTCTGCAATCGTTGCAGTCGTTGGCTTTTTAGATCTTTGTGGTTTCAGTATTATATTTGAATAGGATGAAGGATTTTAGTCATGGGACGTCTGCATCTTAAGTTATCAGAGAAACAAGTTGAGCTAACGTTATCGGCAGCAAAACAGCCTAGCAAAAACACAAACCTACTATGAAACTGCTTTATTCAGTGTTTTTACTGGTTTTAATCTCTGGGTCTGTTTAATTTTGAGAAGACAAGACCACCACAGATAATTGGGCTCCAGTCAAAGAACTCCTGAAGGTTTCAAGTCATCACAAAAACTAGCTTAGCGCACGTTAGCAGTTGGCTTTGAGCACCTCAATCCTAGTCCGCTTTACTGCTTCAGAGAAACCCTGATTTTAACATGAAAGTACTTTATTGAGTATTTGTACGGGTTCTTATCACAAGTTCCCTTTGTTTTGGAGATAATTAAACTTCTGCAGATTGTTCGGCTCTAGTAAAAAACTCAGAACCTCAGGACACTGAGGGAATTCAAACAGGGAGAAACTGACTGCAATGACAAACTCCAATGACCCCATGTTACTTCCCGCTGAAATCAAACTCTGTCTTTTGTTATTTTATAAAAAGACAGACCCCTTGTTACAGAACATTTGGTAAATAAGAGTTTTTAATGTTTTCTTGTATTGTTAGGTCTATGAGGTTCTGAAGAGGACGAGATGCACCCGAGCCAAATACTCCATGGGTAAGAGATTCTGCCTGTAGCTCTAATTCAAGAGATACAAATCAATATGCAATTAATGTGGGCTGTTATCATCCGAGTTAGTGTAATTGCCACCACAGAAGAATGCCAGCATATCTCCACAACTAGTGACAGATTCATTCTCCTGAGAGAAGAAACCTATCGAGCGCAGTGACTACAGACCCTTCCTCTGGTGCACGTGTCAAACACAGCCACTTATGTGAAGCTTTATTACACAGTAGTGTTAACTTAAATTAAATAGTAACTGGTGAAGTTATTCAGCCGCACCTGGGTTCAACAGTTCTTGCATGTGTGTTATGAAGTAAAATTCAGTTGGAGAACACAAATACAATAAATATGTTTAGGTCACATTTTGATCAGAAAATGTGGAATACGCAGGGACTGGTGTTTTTTTTAAATACACCTGTCTGTCTTTGTCAAAGCCAAACATTTGGTCAGACGCTCTGAGCTGACTTTCACAATGTAGACAAAATGGCATTTAGAAAATGTATAGGATATCTCTGGTTTGTAACAACTTTTATTTTAGTTTAGTGCCTTCATTCCTATCAGTTTAGAATGTATTTATTTTGGTTGGTTGCAGTTTCATTATTAAGCTCACATTCTTAACATAGTAAAACTGGCAATTTAGGCAAACAGACTAATTTGCCAGAAAAAGTAAAAGAACATGGTATGGGTTAAAATAGGTAAGTTAAATAACTCAAAGGTGCATTTTGGTTTCACAACAAGACATACAAACTGGTCTCATGAGGGGAGTTGTCCCATTTTGAAATATGTCACCTAACTTTTTAATTGCTAGATATTAATATAAATGCAAATATTGGTTGTTTGATGCTGCTAATAAAAACACGTCAGGTCCTTTTTTGGCGAGGACAGGCTGTAAATAAGACCTACATTTAAAAAATAAACTATGTAACTTTAAGGTTGGTTTCCTGCATTCCTAGTACAACACACGTAAAAACTCCATGATGATATTTTAATGTCTTGAATCCTCCCTCTACGTGTATTTCTTTAACATGAAGGCTTAGGTTTGAACTCTCAAGGGGAGTCTACCTTTCTGGGTTTAACGTTTTTGTGAGAGCCTTTCCATTTGTTCTGAAGGAGAAATAAACCTCTTACATTTCTAACTATAGTTTAAAAACGGTAGCTGCTTTTGTGTGTGTGTGTGTGTGTGTGTGTGTGTGTGTGTGTGTGTGTGTGTGTGTGTGTGTGTGTGTGTGTGTGTGTGTGTGTGTGTGTGTGGTGTGTGTGTGTGTGTGTGTGTGTGTGTGTGTGTGTGTGTGTCTCTTCTGCTGGATTATAATCAATTTTTTGGCTTTTTACAGGGATCACCAGTCTACTAGCTAATGCTGTCTATACGTCTGCTTACCCTCTGCATGATGTGAGTTTTTATCTCACAGCCATCTCTGCCTGACCGGCCTGATAAATTGCTGTTTATATACTGAGAGATTTATTCCAATTCATTGAGTTTCTAATATGAAAATCCCCAAAGCTAAATTGACGGTACACTATAATGTATGTAAAATAATCCTAGGTTTCTAATTTATAATTGTGTTTTAAGTGAAAGGCGTTTTTCCATTTCATGCATGATGAACAAAGTGCATTTATGGTTACAGGGAGACATCGAGGGGGTGAATGCAGAAGCAAACGACAGGAAGGTACGTAGAGCAAGTCCACCAGTCAATACATGGAACCAGATGTCACCACGGCAACACCTTCAGTCAATTTACAGATACTCAATCCTCAATCAGTCCTAACGGAAACATAACACCACCTCTTCATTTTCATTAACTTCCAACTTCTCTTCCCCGCACTTTGTCACTCTCTCTCAAACATCACAAATGAGCATAGTGAGGAGGATTTGGAGAAAAACTGCATTCAGCAGCATCATGTTTTTCATCTGATAACGATGACACACAATCTCATGTGAAATACATTTGACTTAAAGAGGACCTATTCTGCTCATTTTCATAATTGTACTTTGTGTCTCTACTGTGACATGTCTCCATGCTTTAATGTTCAAAAAGCTCTTTATTTTTCTCATACTGCCTGTGCTGCAGCACCTATTTTCACCTTCTGAAACCCCCTCTGGAGGGAACACAGGGATTTTAGCCTTTGCAGGCCATTAACATGCACAAAACCTAAAGAACACACTACAGGAAAGATAAAAATGACTTTAGATTAGATTAGATTAGATAGAACTTTATTAATCCCGAAGGAAATTATTTTTGCCAGGTTGCTCCAAAATTACAATACAGATAATACAGATATATCTTAATAAAAGTATACAATATACAAAGTTTTAAAGTAACGTATTACAGTGCCCCAGTAGAGAATAGGTAGCAGCCTGTGACAGTGACAAGTCATTTGGTGACAAGTCATATTGCACATTCAAGTAAAATACTAAATATCAAATACTAAAAGCAACTAGAGAATGCAATTCCTGAAGAAATTGCTAGTGGGAATGCTTTATGCTGAAATGTAATGTGTAAGAAGAAAGTGAATAATTTATATTGAAATGATACGTGAACACTGGGGGCTTGAATGTGTGATGAGAGAAGAAAAGAAAGTAAAAAGGCTTGGAAAAGCAGCAGAATATTTGAACTGTAAACCTTTGAACTAACTTGATGGCGAATGATCTGTCGCCATGCCAACGCCATTTGTTTTGGGCCGTTTGGAGCATTTTCACTGAAGTTATGAGAAAACCGGGTTTCATGGTGAGCATTGTGTTGCCATGGCAACGGCAATTGAAGAAATCTCAAAACTGCCCCGTAGATGTCTTGACGGCTGGACTGTTAGCACACGTGAAGTTTGAGCACTTTTTGAACATTTTCATAGGCGTTACGACAACATTGTGTTTTATGGCGAGGGATGCGTTTCCATGGAAACGGCATATGGTGAGATGTCAGATTTGACGTAGAGCTGTTGAGGCATGGAGAGGTGATATACAGATGAAGATTGTGGGACGACCGGACCGTGTCCATTGGAGCTACAGCAACATCGTGTTTTATGGCGAAGGATGCGTTTCCATGGCAACAGCCTATGGTGAGATCTCAGATTTGGCGTAAAGCTGTTGAGGCATGGACCGGTGATATACAAGCGAAGTTTGGGGGACGATCGGACCGTGTCCATTGGAGTTACAGCGACATCGTGTTTTATGGCGAGGGATGCGTTTCCATGGAAACGGCATATGAAGACACCCCATAATTGACATAGAGCTGTTGAGGGCAGGACCATTAACCATTATCTGAAGTCTGCTGCTGTTTTATGGCGAGGGATGCGTTGCCATAGTAACACCACACTACGTAACATCAGATTTGATGTAGAGCTGTGTTAACCATTATCTGAAGTCTGCTGCTCTGAGCATGTCAGTTGGAGTTATGACATCATCGTGTTCCAAGACACAGGTGTTTATATTTGAGCTGACGTGTCCAGAGATCAAAGGTTTCCATGGTGATGTGCAGTAATCAGGGAGAGGAGAGCATTTTCATTGTTCTGAATGAGAGATAAACCTCTTACATGTGAACGTTTTGTTGAAGAACCGTAACAGATATCGGTGAAATTTCAAAGCGTGAAGCATGTCAAGGAACTTGAGCATCTGAAGTGTACTTTTTGTGTACTTTCGGGTTCATAATGTGGCCTTTTTGGCAGATTAACTAAAGGTGTGCGGCTGCTCTGGTGGGGAAAGATGAGGCTGAACTTACAATGGGGTTTAATGGAGACATGTTGAACGTTTTTGTCACTTCATGCCCTCAAGAGGCATTTTGTTTAATTATTTTGCTTAATTATTATTTTTTTTTTCAGCTACGAGATGTTTTCCTACGTTTGTCATGAAAAATGATGTCTCAGGAGTGTAGGGTTTGGGAATTATGGCAGGTTTAAAAGAAAATATGAAGGCAAAATTAAATCTGTCCTCCACTCTAGCTGTGACATCATGCACTCTAAAATCTGAAGAAGGCCTCTTTACCAAGGTCTGAACAATGTTTAATATCTCTAAAAGTATGAATCAGATTTAAAAGTTGTGTTACACGAATAATGTCAGAAAGATGTGTAACATATTAAAGTTGGAATGAGGTTTCTGAGTGAAAGTATGAAGGAACAGTTAGCAGTTGAAGTCGCATGAAGAGTTTCTCCATTGACTTCCAGGTTAAAAATGTGATGAATTATGGGATGTATCTCTGGAATTATGAAAGTTATGAATGAGAAAAGTAATAGCCATCGATTCCCGACCGAGCTGAACGTTTTGATGTTTGAACGGAGTTTCTGCGATGTGGAATGTGGGAGAAGAAGAGGTGCAAAATAACCTGGCGGAATAATAAAGAATTTTGTGCGTCGAAGAACAAGTAGTTGGAATGCTGTATCAGCATTCCCACTAAACTAATACTAATTGCTAATTTCTCATCGTACTAAATAAAATTAGGTTAAATATTAAAACTGCAAATGTTATGAGATTATGACATTAACCTAATATTGCTCATGGTGTTATAGTTTAATTATCCTTCCTGCAGAAGGAGGAGGAGTTATAAAGTTTGATGGCCACAGGAAGAAAATACCTCCTGTGGCGTTCTGTGGTGCTCCTCGGTGCTCCTCGGTGCTCGCAGTCTACTGCTAAAGGTGCTCTGATAGGCCTCCAGAGTGGCATGCATGGGGTGAGAGTTATTGTCCATGATGCTGAGCAGTTTACTCAGCATCCTCCTCTCTGACACCTCTAGCAAAGGCTCAAGCTCTACTCCCAGGACCGAACCAGCTTTCCTGATGAGCTTATTGAGCCTATTGGCGTCAGTTGCCTTCAGCCTGCTGCCCCAGCACACTAACGCGTACAATATGACGCTTGCTACCACCGAGTCATAGAACATCCGCAGCATGGTTCTGCAGACATTGAAAGATCTGAGTCTCCTTATGAAATACAAATTACTCTGACCTTTCTTGCACACTGCGTCTGTGTTTTTTAGTCCAGTCCAACTTATTGTGTATATAGACGCCCAGGTACTTGTAGTGATCCACGATTTCTACCTCTGTTCCATTGATGGTGACTGGGGTCGGGAGGGTCTTCTGTTTCCTAAAATCCACCACCAACTCCTTGGTTTTTGTGACGTTGAGTTGCAGGTGGTTTAGTTCACACACACTCCTGTACTCAGCCTCCTGATCCCTCTTGATGCAGCCCACGATGGTAGAGTCGTCTGAAAACTTTTCTTATATCCTGCAACCGTTTCCCACCAATCAGGACACGGTATTAATAAAAAAGTTGATTCCTTTCCCTGCCAATCAGGACTGCTTTCAGTTTTATTACCCCGGATACAGGCTTCTAAAAAAATAGATAATTTAACTGACAGACCATAGTGCTAACAGTACAGCATGTGTACCATTCTGAGCCTTGCTCCCACTGTACAATAATAAAATCACCCGGGCAATAAAAAGAAAACCAGAGCTCACGCTGCGTCTGAAGTCATCTCCTCCTCTGCTAACACTCTCCATAATTATACTGTAGGCTGTGTCACTACGGCAACAGCCTAAGAATTCCCCTCTGTTGTTCTCGAGCATCAGAAAAGCTCTAGCACGGTGCTTTCAAGTGCCTCCACATCAGCGTACTTTTATAGTGTTTTTAGGAAATGGGTTCCTCGGATGTAGGAATGAGTTGTTGAGTCTCAGTGATCTGTGAAGGCTCCTGCTGTGATTAAAAGCCTTCATTTGCTGCTCTGCCTGCGAATGGAGAGTGATTGTGTGTGAAAAAGCTGTGATTTATTGCCTCAGAGTAGTAGGATCACAGCACACACTCAGTACGCTGTTTGATAATCACTGTAAAGGCCCTATTATACTGTACATAAAGAGATTTGCATATAAATGACACTGGGACACACACACAAACACACATACAGTACAAACACATACACATGTTTCAGTGTTGTTTTATTAATCATGAGCATTTGGTCCGATATTTTAGAACACACTAATCACACAACGTTGTGAATCCTATTTGACTTAAATTATTAATACAATAAATAATAATGTGCTTATATGGACAGTGTGATTTTACTGTAACCTAATTCCCCAAACTTAACTATACTAAAACCAAAAATGGGGAAAATGTAGCTTGAATTGACCATTTACAGAATCATTTGCTGTTCAGGTGGATATGAGTATCCACTGAGGTGCTACTTGGTTTACGTGAATGACGCAAACTTTTGCTTGTTAGATGAATATAAAGTCAGATACTAAAGTTTCAAATTGGACACTCATTCCATTTATTTTCCATTCATGCTATCTATTCATTTCCATCCGACTCCCTCACCGTAAAAAAAATGACACTTAGAAACAGAATAACTTCGACAGCCAACTTTACCTCAGCGATTGTACGTGTATACCGTGTTTTTGTGTGTGTGCTCAGGTGTGTGGTCAAAAACAGCTTTGGCCATCCGGCGTAACTTGAATCAACAAACATTGGTTCCTACCTTTATACCCAGATCGCTAATTGGCTCCTTCACTACTTATTAAATAAATCAATGATTTGATAGAATTATAGAATAGAATCGGAGGATGAAACCTTCTCTGATGGTCACACATACATGCACACTGCACACACTGTGACATTTGGTCTCTGCATTTCACCCATCCTAGTACTAGGAGCAGTGGGCTGACATTTGTGTCAGCCCACTGACAGTCAGTTAAATCCAGTGTTCTGGATTTGGCTGACAATGTTGATTTTAAAATGTTATTGAATTAACAATTACAATTATCACCAACAAATGGTCTGTTCCACTGCAGACCTACGGCTGGAACTGAGGTGACAGCAACGTAACTCAAAGTGACAGCAGCTCTGATCAAGGTTTTCTGAATCTGTCCACGTCTGTTCACCTTTTCTTCTACATTATTTAGTCTTTAAACACTGCCAGAGCCCTTCTCCTCTGTCTCCCCCTTACAACACGATTACAAAGTGTTTTCTGATAGAGAAACCCTAACATTAAACTGATCAGACTTCTTTCTGCGGATTGATATGGCTCACATGGTCCCTGATAAGAGTGTCTTTAGTAATGGTCTGAATCCATTGAACCACCAATTACAAAATTAAAAACGCAGGTTCTCCAAACTTTAATGAATAAAGATTTATCTGAGGCTTTCCAAGAAACACAACCTATACAGTACAACCATTTGTTGTAACTAAAGCAAGTTGCTTAGGAGGTTAACATCTCGATTAAACTATACTAGTTTGGACTAGACTGTAGGAGCATTTCCATTACATGTCATTTGTTAGACGCTTTTATCCGAAGCGACTTACAGACATTCAGTACTGAGGACAATCCCCACAGGAGCACCCTGGGTGTCTCAGGGACACAACGACATGCTGACTGCAGTGGGACTCAAACTTGCTACCCCCTGATTCAAAGTCCAGCACTCTATCCACTGAGCCACAGCCTCAGCATTTCCACTGGGGGATCGACATGTCCTCAAAATTCAATCTTTTAGAGAGATTTTCAGTCTTGAACAGTGTCCATGATCCAGATAAGAGATGCTTTAAATTAAACATTTAAAAGCTCATCTGAGTCACCTTGATTTATAAGTGCAATACTTTTTTCAAATAACAGCAGCATGTGCTCTAAGCAGTTATTAATGCTAATGAATGCAATCCAATAATACCTAGCATTGCATTGTAAATGTCCTTGATGTTACCTGTGGTGAGAATGTCTGCTGGTCCAAAGTTTGCTTCACATTAGCAACATGACAGAAGTCCCTGTTGGGTTGGAATATGGTCTCTGTTGAAGTTAATGGTTTCAGGTTTCAGCCTGCAGGTTTGTTTTTGATTACAATCGATTTTTGTTGTCACGCAGCAGCTCCTTTGGATGTGTGAGCAGATAACTGAGGAGGTCTCAGTGTGCAGCTCGGCACTGCTGCCTGAGAAGCATATGTTACTATGAATATGCTGCATCAGTGGATTTGTATGAAATATGCAAATATGATTACATTTTAATGTATATCATTAGTGCTCCTTGCTGTGATACACATAGAGTATAATACATCTTCAAGGTAAAGCCAGCGGGCGAATCATATCTGACGAAGCAATAAATAGTGGGATGATGAATTTGTTTAGTATATTCACCATCATTTAAATTTCCACACCACTGATTACATCATTTCAAAAACAGTCAATGGAATCACGTCATCCATCCAATCACAATTCTATTCTTCTTAAATACATTTCTGGTATTGATTTTTATTTATCTGGTTTACAGCAGTATGAAACCCAAAAAGAGATGTTTTCGTTTGCAATAAACGGATCAAAACTATGCAGAAATAACTATATAAAGGTGCTGGATTTTTTTTTAACCTCGTCATGCTTTTTCAGGTCTGTTATCAAAAAAAAAGAAACTTTGAAAAAGACTGTATTCTGAATTGAGTTCTGTATGGCTGTGCTAACATCATAGCCGCTCAAAATAAAGTCACCTGAACTAGGATGAATACAGCCCCAAGTTATTGTTCATGAAAAGAGATATCTACATACTGTAGTTTAGTCGGGGAAAGCAGGACGTTTAAAGTTGTCACTATGGGCTTTGGGAAATCATGGATATTCTCCACTTATTGGTGACATTTTATAAATAATAATTACCAGGTACTCTCCGTTCTTCTTAAATGCTTTGAAAAATAAATGAGAGGGACACTGTTTTGCAACCAGTAAATATGGAGGAAGTATTTTGTTAGCTTTCAACAGCCAACTTGCTCAAGTGTGATATATATAAAATTGTTCAGATAATGGCCGGTAATATATAATTGAATATGAACGTTATTACAGTAATGATTGACTCTTCTCTTCCCAGCTGCTTTACGAGGAGTGGGCCAGCTACAGCGTCTTCTACAAGTACCAGCCCATCGGACTCATAAGGTCAGATCAATAGCAATGAGCTTTGTCACACATCAGAGGAATTACAGACACATTTGCAGGAATTATATGTATTGCTTTCACAGCTGCATGAACTGCCTCCAGCCGCCTGCGGGCAGGAAGGACGGAGGAAGACTCTGAATCAGATCGAAGCTCCGCTGAAGCTCTCTCACAGTCAGGGCTGAGCGCAGAGCTCTCCAGGAAAAAGACTGAATCTGAGCAGCTCACTCTGCTTAGGGACTTTAATCATGTCTTTTAAAGACTGTCATGTCAGCGTAGGATGAACTGGTTTGAGAGATGAATGCAGTTGGTAGAGGATGTCAAAAATATTTACAACAACTAAAGACAGCAGGATGGGATGTTTCCTGCTTTATTATTTATAAAAAATGGAACATCCGTGATAATGTCTATCATGATCTCATTTGTGAAGGGGTTATGGTTATGGACAGTGATGTATTCATGTTGTAATGTAGGATATTTCACCTATGGTGTGTCCTTCCACAGGAAGTATTTTGGGGAGAAGGTGGGACTATATTTCGCCTGGTTAGGAGTCTACACACAGATGCTGATCCCTGCAGCCATCGTCGGAGTCATCGTGTTCCTCTACGGCTGTGCCACTGTCGATGATAACATACCGAGGTACACACACACACACACACACACACACACACACACACACACACACACACACACACACACACACACACACACACACACACACACACACACACACACACACACACACACACACACACACACACACACACACACACACACACACTCAGCAGGATTTTCAATACAGAGTTGCTTTTCATGCCTACTCAATCATTTTTTAAGGTAGGATGGGTGTTGTGATCAAATTTCTACTACTGTATGAATCTTTATAATCATGTTTTTCTTTTGTAGAGAATGTATTTGCAAAAGAAGCCAGAAAGCTCAAATGTTAAAATATTTCCTAAATCTTAGTTAATAAGGTTAAAGACATGGATAGACACAAGGAGGTAACTCAAAGAGTGCAGATTATGTCACAATGTTAAAACAAATTAAAATAAATAATGTTTCTTATTGCACAGAGATTTAGATTGACCAAAAAGGGGAGTAGGAGCACATGTTGCCATGTTGACTCACAAGGTGAACAAATACCAGCCACACTCTGTTGTAACCAGACTGGGAACTTATAAATAGAACATTTGATGACATCTTTCAGATGGAAGGCGATACTTGGTGCTATGGACGCCTTTCAGAAGCCACCAAAAAGTGTTGATTGTTCATACCCAGCTCTGAAATAAAAACAAAAATAAAATGAGACACTACATTAAGGTACATATCCAAAATGATTTCTCATGTCGTTGTTAAAGTTGTATTTACTCCTAAAGGTTTTATTTATTGACTGGCTGGCTCTCCAAATGGCAAGCTAGCTAAATGTTATTAAAATACTATGCCAGTGTAAAAGGAGATGCTAACCACTGCTCCACATGGAGTTCAAACTAAGTTCGTTTTGCTGAAAAAAGGAAAGTGAGCTTATTATTGAGTGCAAAATGCTATACAGCATTTTCCTAAAACAAGTAAGCAAAGTTGCTTCACCTGTTGGCGGTACAGTATAAGTAAAACGGTTAGCATTGTACGTGAATCTAGTGTAGTATTGTTTTATAATATGCAGAAACTGAATATAACTAACTTGTGTTTGGCCTCTTTAGCACATTGTGAAAAAAACACACTTTTAACAACTATTGGTTTAGAAACTCCACATCAGACCCAATAGAATAAAGGAGGTCTCTTCCACTGTGCAGCCTGATGGTAGACGGCAGGATTAGCCCACACCCTGACTCCACCTGGTTACATAAACACACTTTGAAGCTTTGGGTTTATTGCAACACCGCATCATTACACACTTTACATTTGCACCGTATCAATTCTTGTTTAGGAACATGAGGATAAAGTATGTTAAATGAGGCAATAATGGGCAGTGATGAAGGACTACATTTCAAATGTAATCACATATACTAAACAATAGATTTGGGTTTTAACAATTATACTTGTGCAATATCCCAACCTCTGCCATTTACATGGATTTAATGATTTCTTATTTATTTACAATTTGCAATCACTAATCACAGCCCCTGAAGCAGCGTACTGTAGTTGTAGGCTTATCTGGATATTAGGAAATGCTATCAAAGGTGGATACATTTTCACAATCGCTCTCATAATCCAGAACCTTAAAGGTGGGGTAGGCAAGTTTGAGAAACCGGCTCGTGATACAGTTTTTGTTATATTCCATGGAATGCTCTTAACATCCCGATAGCAATGAATATCTTAAGTGCTTTGACAAAAAATCCATAAAAGAATGTCATCTGTGGAAGCCGTAGTACTGTAAAAAGCACGACCAATCATTTTAGCCGGCCCGGCTAAAGTAACTGGATGGCCTACCTGCCTGTCAGCCTTCCATCTGTGCACAAACTTATCTCGTGCCCTCATTGGTCATGTGCGCGTTCGTGTGTGTTGGAGGAGGGGCTCTGTAAGGAAGTGGCAGATTTTCTCCGGTTGTGTATTTTCAAATTCTAGCGCACTCGAGCCGGTTTCTCAAACTTACCTACCCCACCTTTAACAGACATACTGTAAATAAGAGAATATATTTAAACAAAATGGTTCACAAAGTGGGTGACCTCGAGGTGCCGCAAGATTGATCAGGTTAGTGTTCACAGTGCATTACGGAAACATGATGACATTTACATTAACTGTTTCATTCTAAGTTGAAAGATGATCAATACATATATAATTGACTCCATAAAGGGCAGTTGAGGCCTTTCTGCAGGGTTTTAGCATGTGTTCCCCATACACCTCGGGTTAATGGGAGTGAAGGTGTGAATGTGAGGGTGATGGCTGTCAGTCTCTGTACAGAGAGTGTCAGCCCTGTGATTGATTTGTGACCTCTCCTCGGGAAACGCTCACCCATTGTCAGAGTATATAAATTAAATATCCATATTTCTGTACAGATATGGCTGTTGGCTGGCACTGGTTTTGAAACTGCTGCTTTAGAAACAAAAAAAGAAGCATTTTAGTTGTAAAATGTATTTTGTTCTTTGCAATGTAACCTGAATCTAAACTCTTGTTCTGATCCCTCTCCAACATCATTTTTCCATCTCCTTAGAGAACACATTTTATGATCGTTAATCAATTGGTATACAGGGTAAAATATTCAAGTCTTTCATTAATTCTGCGAGAGTTAAGATTTAATTAATTTAATTTTCAGCACATTTGGTGTCTTTTGTTTGGTAAAGTAAGCTCATTACGCTCATAAACCCTGGACTAAAACGCTTATTTGTGTTTCAGCTAGATTTGTGATTATCATAAACCTCATATCTGTCAACGTGATATTATTATACGATATGTTTTAGATTCAAACCAATAATCAATCGCTTTCAATTAAATGAATGGGACCATTTGAGGGATTGAGGAAAGTGGACCGCTTTGCCTTTGATTAATTGGTCTTCTTGTGTCCATCCGTCAGTATGGAGATCTGTGATCCCAGGAACAACATCACCATGTGTCCGCTGTGCGACCGCGCCTGCAGCTACTGGAAGCTGGTGACCGCCTGCGGGACGGCCCGGGCCAGCCACCTCTTCGATAACCCCGCCACCGTCTTCTTCTCCATCTTCATGGCCCTCTGGGGTAAGGACCCTTCACATCCAATCATACCAACCGCATCCAAAGAGTCCAATAAAAACCAGCAGCCAGTTGCACAAAACATCTTAAATTAAAATAAATTCCAAGGTCTGACTTCAAGTTTCCATGTTTCTAAAAAGGTTTAGATGCTCAAAACACAATTCTTAAGGTTTGCTTAAAACTTTCCCTTAAGTATTTGAAGTTTTGTCCTTATTTTGGTCTTATACTTGAGGAATCTCCTAAGGTCAATTAAACCGTTGCACAAAAGACTTTAACAGCCAAAGTGAAAAAGGAAACTTAGATTAAATTAGACTAGATAATGTATACTTAATTCATCCAATACACATTAGTATTAGAATAAAATCCAAGTAGAATAAGATAATCATAAACACTAAATAAATACACATCATCAGCACAAAATATATATATAGATTATTTAAAATATACACAATATAAATAAAATACTAAATACATTAGAGTAATCCATAATAGATAAATCTACTACAAAAACTGCATAATAAAGATACATTCTATATACAAAAGTGTGCAACATTGAGTGCAGTTTTTGAATTAAAATTCATATCAATTCAATGAAGAAGCGTGATATGCCCACAATGATCAGGGTTACTAAAGGTACCACTGACCAAAACATGGCAGTAAATGGTGTTAAATAGGGAAAATGAATGTGTCTAAGAGGGATGACGAGCTATTAGTTTTACACAATATATTTGACCATTGGTCAGTGCATGATTTGTCTTACCGTCTACAGTTGGATCACTATATTTGCTGAAACTGCAATTAATTATTACCCTTCAGTTTTATGCTAATGAGTACTTCAAGAGAACACCTCAAGTGTATTTCGAAAAAGGCCACTGTAGATGAGTAGAATTTCAAACACAACCTGTTCAGCAAAGTAGTTGCTAAGTTGCCAAGTAAGTTGCTAGTTCAACCGTTTAACTTTATAGACAATACGGTTTAATCCATTCAGTTTAGAAAATGTGATTACTGCCCCTCAGGCGCACATAGACTGTACAATAGGAATCTGCAGAGTAACTCTTGAGTAAACAAAGAGCCGCTCCTCTGATGTCCTGCCAATCCACGCTGCCATCTGCGAGCAGCAGCAGGGCGTCAGACCAGAGAGGTTCTGGAGCTGGTGTCTGACAGAGTCACAGCCTGTCTGCCATCTGGGTTCATGTTCTGTAGCCCTGATAAAGCAGAATATCATGAACCTGTACGCACTGCTCCTTGTGGGAAATCATTGCAGGAGCCAAAATAGCAACATGTGTGTCCATGTGGGAAAATGAAACACAAAACACAAATGTGTGTTGCCTTCTTGTCAACTAATAACATGACAATATCCGATCCAACAATTACTGTTTCAACTAACAAGTATTGTAAGTTCTGTAAGTAAAGTTTGTTTAGTAAAGCACCCTAAATGAAACAATATCACACATTTCTTCATGACAACACAATGATTAACCATAAAAACACATGAGGTGAGAAGAAAGGCTAGCTTTAAGTGGGTCTTCAGCTGCTTTTAAAAAAAGGCTCTAAATGTTAAACAGGTACCTTCAAATAAATGACAATATTAGACAATGTAATAAGGAGATACATTGGGTTTGATCTGGGTTTCCCTGCTGGTAGGTGTTATCATTGCCATGTGCAGAAGTATTCAGGACCATTAGCAGAAGGTTCAGAGACAATTGACTGTGGCAGATCAAAAGGGAGACATAGGGTGCGTTTCACTTCTCTTATTTTTCATTTCCTCGCTCCTCGGTCTCGGTATCACCGGAAGTTGATTTGTCTGCGCCATCTTGAGTAGCGTCCCAGTGGCCTTATTTGTGCCGGAGGACCGAGGATCGAGGAGCGAGGAGCGAGGAGCGAGGAGCGATAACGGAGGAGCGATAATCGAGGAACTACCAGACCATCGTCCGGTGAAATCCTCATACACCGCCCCACCCCCCTTACTGTGTATCACTCACTGATTGGACGATGCAGCGCATGCACTGATCTGGCTGCTGCCAGACGATCAGCTGGGCGGCGTCATCACAAACGGACGTCGCTTCACGTGACGCTCCGGAGGAAACGACGTCCCATTGCTCTTAAAACTCATTTCCCTGCTTCTCGTGGTTTCCTTGCGTCTCTCCATGCTTCCCTGGTGGGAGGGACTAGTCGCAGGGAAACTACGCAAGTGAGGGACGCAAGGAATCCATTTAACCGAAGTGAAACGCACCCATAGTCCTGCTGGGATAATACAAAAGCGTGAATAATAATTTCTAGCTAAAAAAGAACCATATGACCTTATACTATGAGCAACTATGAAAGCTATGTTATCTGAAGCGATCATAGGACATCATCCTTAAGAGATGTATACCTGAATATCATCAGCGTTACAGTAAAATAAAATGTTCTCATTTTTTACCTAAATAATAACCTAGAAAAAACATAGGAGAAAATAATATAGGACCAAAGACTCATCCCTGAGGGACACCCCAGAAACGAGCAGCAGTTTCAGACTTGTAGGGACCAAGGGACACAGAAAAGAAACTCCTATCGAAGACATAACAGGAGAACCAGTCCACATTATGTATCAAAGCCTGATAGCTTCTTCCTCTGTGCCATAGAGCTCCACTGATGCCCATAACACATCATTGAGCCACACTGTTGCACTGTGTGACATGTTCCCTCATTATCATGATCCCACTCACACAGTCCTCATCTAATATGAACCAAAATTACTTTTTGTTGTTGTAATTAAGTGAAAACATGTGAAAAGCTTCTAAAGATGTACATGTTTATTAGGAACCAACAGACTTGGAACTGAGAGCCACAGACAGAGTAGTGAAGGATAGTCCATGTGGGATTTCTAGAGATACATTGTTCATGGAATTGCAATCACTACAGTTATCTAGCTAGGCATAGAGGTTAACTATATACAAGCTGATGATTAGTCACAATAATCATTGTCAATGTCAATTATAATCAACATAACATTGTTTATTGTCATGTATATATGATGGTATAAGGGGCATGTATACAGATGTTGCTTGAGCCTGTGTTAATATTGCTGTGTGTGCTTGGTTATGTAGCGGTTCTCTTCATGGAGCACTGGAAGAGACGACAGATGCGGCTCAACTATGTCTGGGACCTGACGGGCTTCGGAGAAGAGGAGCAGGTGAGACAATGCTACAAATGTCTAAAGATATACCTTTACAGGAGTATATTTGATAACAATAGTTTCACATTTTGGTAAAACCTATGATTTGTTTCTTTTCTGAGAGTTATTACTCTTGTGTCTGAATATGAGGCTATAGTCAGCAACTGGTTAGCTTAGCATAAAGACTGGAAATAAGCAGCAACAGAAACTAGCTTACAGGCAACAGGCACCTCTAAACAGAGGTGGGAGGAGTGCTCAGATCTTGTTCTTAAGTAAAAGTAGAAGAACCAGAGTGTAAGAATACTAAAATATTAAATAAATGTAGTGGAGTAAAAGTAGACTATTTACCTCTGAATCGTAGAAAGGCAAGGAGTCGAAGAACATTGAAATACTCCAGTAAAGCACAAGTCTGTCAAAATTGTACTCACTACACTACTTGAGTAAATGTACTTAGTTACTTTACACCACTGCCTCTAAAACATGTTAATGAACATGTTACTGTATGTAATGAAATGCTAAGATAATAAGTTATGTTTTCTACGCAAGCCCCGAGAGGCAAATGACTTAAAATAGATGTTGGTGGTCCAATTTTAAGTCTAATTTGAATAGTTTTCTCTACAAAATGTTTGGCAGTTTATTTGTTTCATTTCACCATGCTATCTTATCACAAGGTAGACATATGTTTGTGTTAGCAAAACAATAAGCAACATAACTGTCAGGTTTTTCTTTTGGCTAGCCTGCTCACATGCAATAAAGACCTTGTGTTTAGAATGCACGGAGAGATGAAAGCCTTTAAGAACACAGGACTTATTTAAGTCTCTTTTTAAACAACAACTCGTGCTGACACTTGTATTAACATGACAAGAAATACAGATGTGTCACTGCAAAGTCACATGGATCATATGGATGACAGAGAGGTGGGGGTGTGAGTCTGTGTTCCTGTGTCGTGAGTCAGCCCTCAGCTGTAATGTTCCCACACACACACCACAGTCTCACACATCACTATCTTTTCAAATCATAAGGAAATGAAGCAGTGTCCTACAGCCTTCTTCTCAAAGGTTTTTGTCAGTATCATGTCCTGTATCATTGACATTTGTTCCTTTTGTGTTTGTGTGTGTTGTATTTGACAGGAGGAACATAAGGTTTGGAATCCGACTTGCTTACCTTTTTTTTAACCTACCTGCAGCCGCTAACGCTAACATTTTCTCCCTCAAGGTGTCTAACAATCTCCCTCAGGAGTATTCCCTTGGCATTTTGTACTCTTTTATCTGCTGTGTAAGGTTTACTGCAGCTTTTCTCTTTCTCTCTGAGGTTTATACTGAAGCCTCTTGTTAGTGTGGCCTCTCAACACTGTGTTGTTGCTGTTGTTTGTCTCCTGACGGCAGCAGAGATGACAGGACCATTTATTTGACTCATAGCTCTCTGTCCTCCTCCTTGCTCCTCTGCTTTTCTTTTTAGATATACAGGGCCCATAGGAGCCATAACACAAGTAGCACACAAACTCCCAACGTGAAATCATATGCATTTGAACAAGTGGTGTGAAATATAGGCTTAGCATTCTGTACTTTTAAACAAAAAGGAACAGAACTGGCTAACCTGTTGGGTCAATAAAATCTGAACATTGTGAAGCACTTTAAGTGCAAATGGCATAACAGAATTGATACGGTTGGTTTAATTATGTGAGGCCTTGGTTTACCAAAATGGTTGAGTAATGGCCCAATGAAAGAAGTGGCTATCTGTTCCTTTTACTTCTCACAATTCCTAAAGGCCCAGAGAGTCATGTAGGGCTCATAGCACTGATGGTATTTGACCCATGTGCGCTTCATATAGTTTTCACAGTTCCTGCCCACTTTAAGCCTGTATTGGGCCCACATGGACATGTTGGCTGGGAAGTCAGTGGTATGTCAAACCCGTAAACTTCACAAATACCTGGAAATATGTTTCTCAAAAATCCACAACCTGGAACAGGACCAAAAGGGGATCAAATAGGCAGGATAGCTGTTTTTTTGTTCCCAATTAAAACAGTATAACAAGTCCACTCTGTGAATTAAAAAAAGAGCTTTTATATTTCCAGAGGTGTAATGAGTGTGTAATTTGAAAGGTGTGATATATAGGGTGTTTCTCAATCGCGAGTACGCTTGCTTGGTAGCACATGTCTTCTGAGCGTCTTGCTTCAGAAGCGAGGCAAGAATACTTCCTAGCATTCGGAAAACGAAGAGTGGAACAGGCGAGCAAGTGTGCAGGTGTGCGTCATATGAGAGGCCTTACATTTTCCGCCACAGATTTGGGGAAATTGGTCCGTGCGCAAAGCATTGTGGGGATTTTAAGACCGCGGAGTCTACACATGTGCAGCCTCGAAATTTCTCCAAACGAAGTACGCCGGGCTCGGTAGATTTCCAAGTATGCTGGACATTGGAACAGTCCTTCGGCGGCACTCGATGACGTAGTATGCTTGAAATAGTGGCTCTGGAGCAGCTTTACTCGAGATTGAGAAACACCCATACTGTAGTGATGAAACAGCAAAGAGTTATAACCTTGCTGTTATTATTATCACCTCAGCTTCAAAAGCTACTGTAGGTCTGGTAGGAGAGTGCATTTTTGACTTATATTTGTCAGGTGGCCAAACATGACTCAAGTTACTGCTGTGTGTATAAATAGTAGCTTGCTAACACGCTCTTGTTACAGTGAGGAAGAGTTGCCAAGAAATCTGTTAATGCAGGTTAAGTTGCAGTAATGATGGGTCATGAGGACTCTAAGAAGAAAATGATTACATTTCTACTGAATATGAAATGATAGAAGAGCAATTGTTCCTTTTAATAATCCAATTCTTGAAGAAGTCACTCTTTACATTTGCTTTTTGTCTGCATTTGGGTCTTTGTTTGCCTATCTTCGCTCATGTTCTAACCTTAACAATGCAATAACTATGCCTAACCACGTTTTGCAATTTTTTCCAACCAAGGGTTCCACTAGAGTCCTCTGTGTACGCTGCACCTCTTCATTCCTCTTGGCTTAATGCAACAAGTATTACTCTGTGACAAATGGGTGCATATACATTCATTTCTGACGGCATATTACATGGAAATAAAATGTTAACCTGATGTTCCTCACCATGCAAGGATTATTTGATAAAAACAAAAATTCAGTTTGCCATATCATGGAGCTTTGTGAATCAAGTGGTAACAGCTGGATTAAGAAAGGACAGTTTCAAATGTCCATCACAGACACATACTGACAGAGGTAGGTTTTGATGGCATACAGCACACATGTAGCTGTTAGCTTAGCTGTATTGCATTAAGCTTGGATAAACATAAATGCATCAAAACTAGCAAAAAAAATGGACTGGCTGTTTTTATGTTATTCTAACATTTAGTTTCACATACTCCTAATCCTTTCATGGTGGGTCCACGCATTGCTCTTTCCTTGCACAGAAGGCCGTAATCTAACTCAAACACACCATTTTGCTTCATGCACACAGGCTGTTCATTTCATGGCTGTCTCCACACGTTCTACTGTATATCGCTTTGTACTGCTTACTAACCCACAGGGGTCGCGTGTCAGTTACTGTAACATTCAAACTGATTTCCATTCCAGGACCACAACCGAGCCGAGTACGAGTTCCGGGTCATGAAAAAGACAATGAAACAGGAACAATCCAGCCCCAAGGTAAAGTAGATTTACTTGATGTTATTTATGTGTGTAAAGCAGACCTGCACAGTCAGAGGAGGTTTTCTTAAAAAGCAGAAGGCATCATGTTTTAGAGATCTGTCCTCAGAGCGTCGGCATCAGAAGATGTAGTATTCACAATATTACATCATTTTGTTACATCATTTGTTACTTGGTATGCCTTTGTGCCTTAGTACTCTAACTGCTTTGGACACCTACACTATCATTTACATTACTGCATCATTTTCTTAAGCATGCCATTAGTTTAACCCATAACATTTCATTTTGGGAACTTTTTGAAATGAATAAAGTGCACTTTTGTATGGGGTCAGATAGGACTTAAAATAAATAAATGCACACAAAAGTTTCAACAAATAATTTGGGATTTACATACAAATGTCTCTATTCACAAAAATAGTTTTCAATGGACACACAAATATTAATCATTTTATATAACTGTAAAACAATCCATATAAATAAGAAAGTTGCACAAATATACTTCCTATCCCCGCATAAATATTTATTGTTTTTAATAAATATATAATAAATCTACAAATATATCTATTCAAAAGTGTGTTATTTTTCATACTAAACATTCACAACAAATACAAAATACATATTTGAATGTTGTTACATTTATATAAAATACACTTTGTGTGTATGAACCGGTTTGTGTGTGTGTGGCCTTTTGAGACGCCACTCAACACTAGATTCACAAATGCCTTTTCAACAGGGAACTGTCCGTGGAACTGTTAAACTGAGACTGATCGGACTCCATACTTTTGAAATAAACTAGCAGGGACAAGAAAGTTGATAAGAAATAGCTCACTAAACACAGTAAATATTAAGTCTCCTTTAATTGTATTACTTTTAAATGACTTTGTTGCATCTTTGTCTGATAATATTACTCAGAGTCATCCAGCAAACATGGTTTCTGTGAAATGGATAATTAGACTTGGTCCTCTCTTGCAAAAGTCAAAGATAACATCCTGCCAAACACAGAGTGAAGACACACACCGTCCGTCAGCAGCTGACAGGGAACGTGGATCACACTGAACAGTGCAGGAATCAAATCGAATGGTGGCTTCATCAGCATGAAAGTGCTGATAAAACACTCTAACAACATTGTATATTGTAAAAAAAACGGTGTACTTGACCTTCACATCACTACGTGTGTGTGTGTGTGTGTGTGTGTGTGTGTGTGTGTGTGTGTGTGTGTGTGTGTGTGTGTGTGTGTGTGTGTGTGTGTGTGTGTGTGTGTGTGTGTGTGTGTGTGTGTGTGTGTGTGTGTTTTTTCAGAGTGAGAAAGTGAAGCTGACCTGTACAGACAGAATGCCAGCTTACCTGACTGCCGTGTTGATGATGGGCTTCATGGTGAGTCTCAGCCCCCCCCCCCCCCCCCCCCCCCCCCCCCCCGCCACAGTCAGTGTATTACCTCAATCCACTCACAAAAGGCTCAACAAAAACAAATCAATATCATTTAAAGTGTATCATATTACACGAGTCCACCTTTAGCTTAGCATTAATGACGTGCAGCCATGACACTGTGATGTAGTTTGTTTATAACCTAGCGTTAGCTTTTTACTGGCGATTGCATTTACGCTTCAAAAATCACAACGTGGTGTTAATATGTGGAAATGATCCTGCTGAACAAAAGTTCAGTAACATACAGTATACGAGAGTTTCCCTTAAGCAGGTCTTTTGCTTCATTTGATTCATTCATGGTTAGCATGGCAGGATAACTCAACACAAAGGTCACTGCGTGTCCAACATGGATATGACACACACACCAAGGGAAGAGCCAAATAAAAAAACTGAAAGAGAGCTTTTCTTTTAAAAATGCAACCACAACAGAATTTCAAGCCAATACTAATTATTTGACAAAAAGGTCCAAAACGGAGCCAAACCCTCAGGACTCGTCAGGGTTGATTGCAGGAGACTGTTGTGTAGCAGAAGTTGTTGCTATGGACACAGACACATTAAAGTATTACATCCAGGCTCAGGTGGGTAGTAATGCATGTCAGAGCAGTCACCCTTATTATTTATATTGTTTGTGACTCCTGTAAACGGCATGTTTAAACAAGTGTAGCCCTTTACTGTGCTTTGATTTAGTCAAATGATTATACATTTAAACCTTTCAATGCACTTCCTGCTGATTGTTCAGATTCAAATAAATGCAATAGAAATGAAGGAGTGGTTGTTTAGAAATATCTACTTGAGAGTGAATCCAACAGGCTCTTCAATACTTCAGCAGAGTTCACATATCTCCTTCCTCCCCGTGAATGTTTTGTCTCATTATCAGCAGATTGTTAGATTGCGTGTTCTCTTCCTCCTCCTCCTCCTCCTCTCTTTAGATCCTCGTGACGTTTGCCATGGTCTTCGGGGTCATCCTGTACCGGATCAGCATTAAGGCAGCGCTGCACATGAGCACCTACTCCGCAGCACGGTCCAACATCAGAGCCACAGTCAAAACCACAGCCGCCATCATCAACCTCATCATCATCATCATTTTAGATGAAATCTACGCCGCCATCGCCCGCTGGCTCACCAAACTGGGTGAGGCACATTTCACTGTTAACCCATTTAAAGCAAGATAATCTTTATTTGTGTTTGACTACAGATTGACAAGTTAAGATGTTCGAGCTTGGCTGTTCAGAATGATGTCTGTGCAGTTTGTTTTCACATTTACCTGCTCTCTTTGAGCTTCTCAGTTCAAAGCAAACCACTTTAACCAAATGTGTCTTATTGTGTCTATAGATTGGAAATAAGGAAGGTTTCATGATGATATCTGTTAGTTAAATGTTTAACCCTATTAACCAGTAGTGCCTCGTAAAATGTATGGATTTTTCGAACACATTTCTTTAAAGGTTATTTTTTCAAAATAAGCTTTCTTTCACCAGAAATCTCTACTTCAGTAGCAATTAGTAACACCAAAACGTTCCAGTTTCACTCAGTCTAAGAGGGGTTTGTCCAAATAAAACTCACAACCTGATTATAAAGCATTGTGTTACCTAAATAAAATAAAACATGTATCATGACTATTTGAAAGTGTTATCTGATTTAGCAAGTGAAATCTAAAATGTAAAATTGTTTCCAGGTAGGAAACCAATCAGTATTAGTGTTCAAACACAAATGAGGTTGCCTTTAATGGTGCATAGAAATTGCAATGGACATACAAATGTAAAACACACTCTGTACGGCTCATGAAGGGAATTCCAACCGATCTAGAAAAGTAAACACAGCTTTTTCTTTGGAATCAAAGTTGCAGAGGCTTCAGTAACGCTAATGATGAATGAATTTGTCTGTGATATATTCAAACAACATTTGACCTATATTTCAGAGGTGCCAAAGACAGACAAGAGTTTTGAAGAGCGTCTCATCTTCAAAACCTTCATCCTGAAGTTTGTCAATGCATTCACGCCCATCGTCTATTTGGCCTTTTTCAGGGGCAGGTAAACAATGGCTATATTTTGTAAATTGTTATGTTGAATCATTTTTATTAAATTCCTATCAGTCATTACTTAAAAAAGATTCATTCAATTGACCTTTAATTCAGTTTGTTTGCATAACCACATTGTAAACCACCTGATGTCCACGTCTCGTCTTGTGTTTGGTTCACAGGCTTGTTGGGCGGCCTGGAAGCTACTTGTATGTTATTGGATCGTACAGAATGGAAGAGGTAAATACACGTGTTCAAAATGTATACATGTTCCTGTTGTCAAAGACTGTCCATGACAATAAAATGTGAAAGATGTTATATATGACACTGACCAGTTCCATATTATATCACAAAAATGTATTGATCTTTCCTTGTTCAATGAAACAATTCATTTCTCAATTTAGGTGGTGTTAAAGCTGTTTAACTTTCCTTACAAAAGTCCATATTTTATTTATGTCACCAAATCAGACAGTCTCAAAATAACTGCTATAGTATTTGTTTTAATCACTTTTTAACCTGCTTGGGGCATAAAAGCGTAAGATTATAAGCCTAATAGATTCCTAAGGAAGAGATACATGTTCAACAATATATGCGCTGCATTATAATAGTATAGTTTTGAACCGAGGTTACCAAATTAGTAGGAAATGGTTCACCTGTCCGTGACCATTATAAGTACGCCTAGTGAAAATATTTGGCAACAGGACAGTGTAGGTAGCATTGATTAAAAAGAAAAAACTCCAGTGTGTTTCATAGAAATAATTTGAAAATTCAACGGCTGTTCTCGTGGTCATTTGACCAGTGTGGTCCAAAATGGCAATTGTTGTTATGGTTAAAGCCACATTCATGTGGGTGTAAAGTGTAGTGGTAGCTGGCCGGTAAGAGAGATAGCTGGCCCAGCTACAGATATAAATGAATGGCTAGTTAGATAGGTAACTTTTGGTTGGACCTGCCACTATTGCACTGTTTTGCAATTCTTGTGTAACCAATATAGATTCAATCATGCTGGAATCATCAAGCTAGCTAAGTCTGCCTTAGCGTTAATGCTAACATGATTAGAGAAAGTTTGCCAACCAAAGTCGTCACTTATCTGCCGACAGAAATGTGCTTTCCCATGCGAGTTGTGTAGATGAAGAACAATACTTACAATGTTTATTAAATCTGGCTCTCTTTGTGTAACGTTACCACTCAGCTGCTTGTTGAAGTTGTTACTGCAAAACCTCACTTATGTGAGTCCAAAACTTGCCACCAGTCAGTTTATATGGAAGTTACACTGTTTTGATTGTTTCAATGGTAACGGAACACATACAAATTACAACTGGCTTGACCAAGTTGTTATGTTGATTTGAATGTGAATCTTTGTTCTGCTCTCATTCTATTTCTAAGATAAGTTTGTGTGTTCATGGCAATAAGGGAACACCGAGTGACTTGGCTGTCTGTGGTCCGCTTCTCCTGACTGCACTTTGAACTCCCCACTGTCCCCCCCACTGTCCCCCCATGCTCTTTGCCTCCATCTGATCTCACTTCCTGAACCTTCTCTCTGCAGTGTGCTCATGCAGGCTGCCTCATGGAGCTGTGCATCCAGCTGTGCATCACTATGCTGGGCAAGCAGCTCATCCAGAACAACCTGTTTGAGATTGGCATGCCGTGAGTACATGACTTCCACTGTGCAACATATATTTTCCCACGATTATAACACAGTGAACAACCTTTCCACACACAGTAGATCACAATGCGTCGGTTCAGCAAGCCCCAGAACAAATATTGCACGCCCACTCAGTTGTACTTTTGCCCGAGAGAAATCATTTAAAGGCCTGTCTGGTTTTCAGACGCACTTACCTGGGAACTAGACAGCATTATGCCGAACTCTCTCAGCCTTCAATGTTCTCTGTCTTGCTTCATCTGTACAGAACTCTGTAATGGAAGTCTATTTTCCTTTTTGTTTGGTTCCCTTTCTTTATGACGTGGTACAACAAAAGCACAGTTCTCCACTGTGTCACATATATCATTTTTAGACCTAAGTACATTCTGTCCATGAAAGAGTTCTGTATCAGCAAGGGGAAACCACATGCTCTTGTATTTTCTCTGATAGTCAAGGAGAAAATGACCTTTGTCTGGATTTATCATGAGAACCTTGAGACTTTAAAACCATACTCCACAAACAAATGGTGTTGCCATGGTGATTACATCCATAACCAATTAACCACCAATAATCCAGGTGGCATGTTTCACGAAGATGAAGATGGATCAATTGGAAAAAAGACTTTGATATTGACAGTGTTGTAACAATTTATTTCACAACATTGAGTTATACAAAGAGGTATTTATTTGATTTTGTCCAGCCATATATATCAATAAGGGTAGGCAAAAATAAATGATTACCCAATGCAGCAACGTCACATTGCCAAGGAAACTTCATGTAGGGGTTTTTTCCCTGTTGTATTAGACTGCATTAGTTTAGCATCCGTGTAGTGAGTCCTTTTTATCAAAAGAAAATCCTGTAAAGATCAGACTCTGTTAACAATGTGTTGTTCCCATACTTGTATGTATGTACAGGAAGCTGAAGAAACTGCTCCGGAGGAGGAAGTCAGAGTTGGACTCAAAGCAAGAGGAGGAGCTGAACAAAACCCTGCAGCGGCACGAGAAGGACCACATCCTGGGTCCCTTCGTCGGCCTCAGCCCCGAGTACATGGAGATGAGTGAGTCTGAACACAAGGCAGTTGAACACACATAACACACATAACATGCACACTGATGCTCTGTTGGGATTGGTTATGTCTTCGCACTGACAACTGCTGGTCCCGAGGCTACAGTATATGTTTTCTGGTTATCTGTCTTTCACGTGATATTTCATTATCACCTTGAGGGAATTCTTTCAAATTGGTCACAAAGGTTGCACTCAGGGATGAAATGATGGGATGTTGGTGGTAGAAGGAAAAGCTCACTGTGACAAACAAAACCTGTTTCTAGCCTAACTTATGAAATTCTAATTATTACATTTCACACAAATGTCTAATAAGATACAATTAAGAAGTGATGAGTTTTTGGTCATTTGTAAAATACAACTTGACTGGTGGAGGCATACATCCACAAGGCGTTCATTCTAGTTTTTGAGGGTTTTACTTTAGGTTTTTTATTTTGTTATTTTATGGTTCCTGAACATGAATTAGACACACCGACTGTCCTCAGGAGCAGTCTGTAGTCCGATCCTTGTTGATCTTGCTCTTCACCTCAGTGATGCATTATCCAGCTGACTAACAGCAGAGGTTCTCAGCCTCATCGCTGTCAGAGTGGTGCCCCCCACCCTGACTCAAGAACATCCCTGCTCTGTGTTAATACCTTCCTCTTTAACACCCTAACCTTTACAGAGCATGACATTTTGAGGTCAAATCGAACAAGCATAATGGCTGCGAGCACTTTGAAACAAACACTCTAATGCTCAGATTCTACATGTATGTGCAACAAACACATTCGGCCTTTAATCCCTCTCCATGTGGGACCTTTGCTTGACATGACACATATAGTGTCAGCACAATATGTTAGCTTTAAGAAACAAGTAGGCTTAGATATTCCATTGAGCTGTAGTACAAGTAAATGTCCGCCTTGAAGTAAACTGTGTTGACTTTAATTGTATAAAGATATAATTTAGCAGCACACGGACAGTCAGTCAGTGATGTGGAAAACTTGGATTGATCATTCTTCATGTGCACCAGGGATGTCCGTGCATGCATGTGTTTAATTAAGTCGTTTTAATTTGGCTCATGGAAACTGCGGTCATGTAATTGCTCTTTTTTAATCTAATTAAGCCGTTGATCCATAATTCCCAAGGGGGAAGAAGATCCATATCACTTAATGAAGGATATCAGCAGCTCATCCCAATACAACTGAGAGAGGATTAAAACTGCTTCAAGCTCAATACTTCTACTTCTTGTGCCCTTTTTAGGATACTCAATTACACTTTACATAATTTCTAATTAGCAAATAAATGCTTTATGAGGCTGTACTTGATTCCTTTGAGCTAAATGCTGACAACATTTCATGGCAATCCATTAAATTGTTGATGAGATTGTTCAGTCTGTACCAAAGTGGCAACCAACTGAAAACCTTATACTAAATAAACATTGAAAAAGAATAAGGGAATCTCAAAATGCATTCTATCACCTTAATGGATCTTTAGCCAAACCATTCTATGTGCTGGTGCATTCACTTCAAATGTTCAGGACTAGTGTGGGCTATATTATTATTTCCTTTAATGAATGGCCATGTTCAGTCGGTACAGATGGGATTTCAGTCTGCGATGGAAGATGTGGACACTTTCAGCTGTCATGATAAACACTATATTCATTTGAGTTGTAGGTCAATCCGTCCAACTCTGACAGCAGAAGATAACTATAATATTTTTTTTTTTTATAGAGCCCTTTTTAGGGTACTCTGACACTTCACAGGTAACATTCATTAAAACATAATTAAAACAACACTTAAAATATACAATAAAATAAGTGATAAAACATGGCAAATAGAAGTTGAAATTAAGGTCACATCAAAATAAAAAGTAAGTTCTAGTTTTTTTTTATTTGAAATCATAAATGTTGGCGAACCGGAGCTAACCCGGAGAAAACCAATGACTGAGAACACAGAAGGAAGTCGGGCGGAGTTAAACCTTACTCTCTTACAGTAAAGCCTCAAACAGCTCATACTCCCCTCTGGTCAGCTCACAGGGACGTACATCCTGAAGACTCGTTGGAGTGTGAGGACCCCTGGGTGGTGTTGAAGCCTCTCTGGGTGCCTGGAGGGCTCCACAGGTCGGACAGCTCCTGCAGCCCCTGAAAGAGCTGAGAGACGAGCTCCAGGCTGGCTCCCTCCTTCTCCTCTACCATGGCACCATCGCCTGCCTTGGCGTTTTTCAGCTCTTGAACTTTGCGTCTCAGCTTCTCCCTCAGTTGGAGTGCGGCGTCTCTCTCTGCTGTGATGGCTTCGTTTTTGGCCAACACACCGTAATAGTTTCTGGACCTGCTGTGATTGAGAAGGACCTCAATGTTTTTGCGGAGAAAATAGTTCTCATCGCTTATTTTGTCCTTTTCCATATCCAGCTCCTCACATTCCCTGTCCAAAGCGTTCCTCGCTCTGATCCTGGCGTCCAGAAACTGATGTTGCTGCCTGAGAGCTTCATGCTCGCTGGAAATGGAATCCGCCTCAGCCTTGACCTGGTCACAACGGTTGGCCGGCAGGCGTTGGTGTCTCTCTGTCAGTTCTCGGACTCTGCGTTGGAGGATGTCAGTTTGTCTCAGCTTGGCCGGTTTTTCAGCTGTCATACGTGCACACTCGACCATTTTACTTTCTTCATCCGCAAGTGTTTGGGTTAGTTCCTGGACCCGTGTTCTCAGGGAAGTGTTGCGTTCGGTGACGCTAATGCACTCCTCCTGCAATTTTTTACGTTTGTCTTCCTGTTTTCTCCCACCTTTCTTGCGGATTTCCCTGAGTGTGGTCTGAATCTGCCTTTCCAGCGCATCATTTCCCCGGCTCTTTGTGGTGTTTTCACGTTTTATTGTCTCAAATTCACTAAGCAGTCTTTCGTGGTCGGTGAATCTCCCGTTTATCTCCACGATTTCACTCTGCAGCAGCCAATTTTCCTGGAGGATTTTTTGCTTCTCCTCCTCAACAGCCCTACATTTTTCCTGCAAGGCTGTTTGAGTCTGGAGTTTGATGCGGAATTCCTCCACTTGCCTTTCAAGATTTCTATTTAAATCTTTTGCTGCTTTCCTCTCTTTCTGTAGGTCTTTCAACTGCTTTTTAAAATCTTGACTGTTCACAAGCTGAGTGCTAAGCTCAATTATTTGCACACTCAAGCCAGCATTCTGTTGGTTGATCGCTCCTGTCTCCATACTTAGAGACAAAACCTTGTGGGACAGACTATTTTGTCCCTCCAGGATTTCACTTCCCTGGAGGGTGGTCTCGTCCCTGCTGGACTCCTGAGACATTTTGTGTTCAGACTTCCTCTACTTTTTATACCACCGAATATAATATAGTAGAAGCAGCAGCCTGATGTACGGGTTTTTTAAAGTAACGTACGGGTCTCCTGAGAAGATACTGTTACTGGAACATGTGTGTATCTGAGTATGTCAGTCAGGGTATATTCAAAAGTTCAAAGCCTAGAATTGTTACTATGACATCCCTGGAACTGCCTTTGTGCTGTCATCATATTCCAAAAGCATTTAGCCCCGCCCAGAATTAAGAAGTGCGGAATGTGATGACATCATTACATCATAAGTATGTGCCTCTGATAAAAAAAAAGAATAAAATGGATGGCTTTGGTTATATTAAATACATTGTGATATAGAGATTTTTATATTGATTTTAAAGGTATATTTGGGGGCTTTATTGGAGATACAGTGTGTGTGCTGTGTCATCCTTATACGATTACTTCAAATAATATAATATGTACATTTTTGCAAAAAAAGGTCTAAATCTACACCTAAATTATATACTTTGTTGAGTTGTGTATTTACTTTATTCCAACTATTCATATAATTTTCAAGTACAGAGAAATGTGCAATCTAAATCAAGATAAAGGTTTATTTCATTTGCCTGTAATGGCAACATATCCCTTTTGAGCATGATTCAATGTAGCAATGTCTACCAGAAGCTGGGATAATATCATCTTACACCCTACTACACACTTTTTGTGTGTTTGTTGATTTTACACATATATTTTAACTGATTAAAGGATTTTAGTAATTTAGCATCTGGATCTTAAGTGACCAATTTTCCTATATTAATGAAGTTTTTTTAATGTATTTATTTATTTAATTTATATATATATAATTTGTAGTATAGGGGCAATGGCACATCCAAGCATCTTTTGGACCTGACACATTCAACCCAAATGTAGTTGATACAGTTGAACAGTATAGCGTTCCAATACTACACTATTAATATCCAGTAGTCCAGGTCAGTAGCAGAAGAGAGTGTGACAATTCAGTAACTCCTGCTCATGTCTCCCCTGTTCTGTGTCTTCAGTCATCCAGTTTGGGATGGTAACTCTTTTCGTGGCCTCCTTCCCTCTGGCTCCTCTCTTCGCTCTCCTGAATAACATCATTGAGATCCGCCTGGATGCCAAGAAGTTTGTCATGGAGCTGCGCAGGCCGATTGCAGCCAAGGCCAAAGACATTGGTAGGTGACCCCCTGATCTGCCCCCCTATGTCAACTTTATTTTATTGTAAGAAATCCAGGAGAATAGCCTGTGCAGGAGACGAGAGGTTCAATCACAATAAAAACTAGAAGGACATTTACATACATAAAGGCATGTCAATATTGAATTATAACCAAAATGATTAAGCAGTCTTAAAAATGAAGGTGTTAACATGTCACTGTGAAAGCAAATATTCTTAGACTACCCTTAAATGTGCCAGACATCCAGAACATTTTAAATGCTAATAATAATAATAATAATAATAATAATAATAATAATAATAATAATAATAATAATAATAATAATAATAATAATAATAATAATGATAGTTACCTTTTATTTGTTAATTGTCTTAAAACAAAACAAACTGCTTAACTTAAACAAGCAATCATTAACCAAGCATAAGTGATACAATAAACCTCATAAATAGATATTTTACTCAGACCATCAATAGGAAATGAGAATCCAAACCTGCAATTTGGTCCTGGTCAACTGCAACAACACAAAACATAGGGACGTTTTACCAACTCTGTACTGGGGCCATCTAGTGGTGGCTGGTAGTAACTGAATACAATAATAATATAATGTCCACTTTTTTTTAAATGTCAAAAAAATATAAAAATCCTGGAAAAGGGCATATTGTCTGTTTGCACAATAGCAGGAACATTAATAAGAGGGGGTTCTGGGGTCTCCCTCAGGAACACTCGGTTTCCTTCATTCGAATTAGTGGAAAACAAAACAATTCAGGCGCCAGGAAGTTAGAATATAAAAAATAATCTGGTAAAACTCATTAAGGCTCTCAAGCATTCTGGGTCGCTTTGAAATATTTATATTACAGCTGCTGTCAGCGTTCCCCTCTATTTTAGTTTATTTTGTTTGGGGAAGTAACCTCTTTAAAGGTGGGGTAGGTAATTCACTTCAGAAACACTTTTTGTTATATTCCATGGAAAAGGGGCAGATTTTTTTCGGCTGCGTACTTTCACATTCTAGCCCACTCGAGCTGGTTTCTCCATTCTACCTTTAAATGTACATAAATTAATTTAAAATTAATTAATTAATCACTCATTTAAAAGCCTTTGAACTTTGAATGCTCATATAGATTTCAGCAAGATTTCTGCCCATGTTCAAAACTTTCTGCACATTTTCCAACATTTCTGTTTACTCTGGGAAAACACAAATGAATGTGGAATAGTTAAAAAATTAATTGTAATATTATGATATAAAGTCTTATTTTATTGAGAATGAATTCATAATAATCCAAGAACAAATCTACCCACCCTTAAGATTTCTGTGCATTATGCATTATCACACAAATAACAAACAAAGAATAAAAACATTTTATAATTGACATGAAACACCAAATAACTAGATGTCTTAGTTATTTTACTAAGATATTTACAAGCCAACATCAACAAATAAATACCAGCACATTCTCTCAGGGTTTACCTACCATTATAATGCTTAGGTGCTGCACCCATTTTGGCTCCACCTAGCTAAATGAATGTAAAATCAACGGGCAGAGCATCAATGTTAAATACATATATTTTACCAGATACAATGGTTGTAGTTCCTGAGTGGACTTCTTCTGCAGGTGTTGTCTTTAGACTATTTGAGTGTTCATTCATTGTCTGCTCTAGCTTTACCAAACTCTTGAACAAACATATTGTAGCAATACTAAAATGATCAGAAATAGCATTTTTTTTTATTCAGTAGTGTAGAATTGTAGGGAAACCCTAAAACACCCTTCATGCACTGAGGTCTTCCAAACAGCTTAATTCATTAAAATTAATAATAACAAAAATAAGTAGTCAAACTTATGAGTTGCTTCAATTCCATTTAGTTGCACCATGGGATGAAAGTCAGTATAAGCTCAGCTGGAAGCATTTTCCAATAGGATGAGGGAGTTAGGATAAGTGTAAATGTAAAAGCAGATTAAGCAAAGGCATTGGGCCTCATGGGATGTGTAAGTCTGAGTGTAGAGCAGATGAAGAGGTTCTGCAAATATGCTTAGTAACATTGTCAAAACTATTGAATACCAATTGACCTTCTGAAAAAACCTGAGGAGGCCAGTCTGCAGGAGCTGAAACCCCCTTTAAGGTCTGTGTGTGCATGTCCCAGTTGAAGCTCCTGTTTCCCAGCTTAATGGCAGACCTTCTGTCTTTCTGCAGGCATCTGGTACAACCTCTTGAGAGGCCTCAGCAAGGTAGCAGTCATCGTAAATGTAAGTCCTTTACCTTTACCGTCACTGCACTGTTGTACTTCAAAAACATGTCTGAAGAATAAAAATGTCAGATTATGGAAAAAAATGTCCTCTGTAATTCAAAATAACAAAGACAAACTAGAGAATGCAATTCCTGAAGAAATTGCTAGTGGGAATGCTTTATGCTGAAAATCTGACGCTAAACTGCTATGCTGAAATGTAATGTGTAAGAAGAAAGTGAAGAATTTAGATTGAAATGATACATGAACACTGGGGGCTTGAATGTGTGATGAGTGAAGAAAAGAGAGTAAAAAGGCTTGGAAAAGCAGCAGAATATTTGAACTGCAAACTTTTGAACTAACTTGATGGTGAATGATCTGTCGCCATGCCAACGGCATTTGATGACATCCCATAATACGCTTAGATGTGTGGATGGCTACATCGTTGCCAAACCTGTGAAGTTTTGGGCTGTTTGGAGCATTTTCACTGAAGTTATGAGAAAACCGTGTTTCATGGCGAGCCTTGTGTTACCATGGCAACGGCATTTGAAAAAACCCCATAATTGACGTAGAGCTGTTGAGAGCTGTACCGGTGATATACAAGCGAAGTTTGGAGGACGATCGGACCGTGTCCATTGGACTTACAGCGACATCGTGCTTCATGGCGAGTGGTCTGTCGCCATGGCAACGACATTTGATGACACCCCATACTACGCTTAGATGCGTTAATGCATCGTTACCAAACCTGTGAAGTTTGGGCCGTTTGGAACATTGTGTGTGAGAGAGAGAGAGAGAGAGAGAGAGAGAGAGAGAGAGAGAGAGAGAGAGAGAGAGAGAGAGAGAGAGAGAGAGAGACAGAGAGAGAGAGTGTGTGTGTGTGTCTGTGTGTGGCAGAGAGAGAGAGCGAGAGAGAGCGAGAGAGAGCGAGAGAGAGAGAGAGAGAGAGAGAGCGAGAGCGAGAGCGAGAGAGCGAGAGCGAGAGAGAGAGAGAGAGAGAGAGCGAGAGAGAGAGAGAGAGCGCGAGAGAGAGAGTGTGTGTGTGAGTATGAAATGAACTGACTGCTGTCAGTTGGAGTGATGACATCATCGTGTTCCATTACACAGGTGTTTATAGTTGAGCTAACGAGCTCTGTAGAGATCAAAGGTTTGCATTGTTCTGAATGAGAGATAAACCTCTTACATGTGAACGTTTTGTGGAAGAACGATAACAGATATCTGTGAAATTTCAAAACGTGAAGCATGTCAAGGAAGTTGAGTATCTGAAGTGTAATTTTTGTGTACTTTCGGGTTAATAATGTGGCCTTTTTGGCAGTTTAACTAAAGGTGTGCGGCTGCTGCTGTGAGGAAATATCAGCCTGAAATTGCAATGGGTTTTAATGGAGACATGTTGAACGTTTTTGTCACTTCATGCCCTCAAGAGGCATTTTGTTTAATTATTTTTTGCTTAATTATTTGTCATTTTTCAAGCTACGAGATGTTTTCCTACGTTTGTCACGAAAAATGATGTCTCTGGAATGTAGGGTTTGGGAATTATGGCAGTTTTAAGAAAATATATGAAGGCAAATTTTAAGATTTGCTCCACTCTAGCTGTGACATCACGCACTCTAGTTAATGTTAAAATCTGAAGAAAACCTCTTTAACAAGGTCTGAACAATGTTTAATATCTCTAAAAGTAAGAATCAGATTTAAAAGTTTTGTTACACGAATAATGTCAGAAAGATGTGTAACATTTTAAAGTTGGAATGAGGTTTCTGAGTGAAAGTATGAATGAACAGTTAGCAGTTGAAGTTGCATGAAGATTGTTCAAGTCTGAAGATTTTCTCCATTGACTTCAATGGTTAAAAATGGGATGAATTATGGGATGTATCTCTGGAATTATGAAAGTTATGATTGAAAGTATTAGCCTGCGATTCCCGACCGAGCTGAACGTTTTGATGTTTGAACGGAGTTTCTGCGATGTTGAATGTGGGAGGAGAAGAGGGCCAAAATAAATCGGTGGAATAATAAACTTTTTGTCCGTAGCATAACATATAGTTGGAATGCTGTATCAGCATTCCCACTAAATTAAGGGAATGCGCTGATTAGCAGTTCTCTGTCCCCAGGCCTTTGTCATCTCCTTCACCTCGGACTTCATCCCTCGGCTGGTGTACCAGTACATGTACAGCCTGGACGGCACCATGCACGGCTTCGTCAACCACACCCTGTCGTACTTCAACGTCAGCGACTTCCAGCCCGGCACAGACCCTCTCCAGCCAATGCACCTGGGCTACAAAGTAGAAATATGCAGGTAACATTTAACTTTATATCCAGGAGCACTTCACCAAAAGTGATATATTTAAAGGAGATTTATTGGACACATTTGAACGTTCATTCTAGTATTTTTCACACGTATTGCCTGAATATATATCTATATTCACCCTTGGTTTGAAATGCTCCGTTTTGGCGCCTGTTTCTTTAAAGGTCCCATGTCATGGCCATTTCCACTGATCATAATTCCATTGTTGAGGTATACTAAAATAGATTTATATTGTGCAATTTTCCAACCTCACATTGGTTTCTCATACAGCATCTCTGTAAAGTATGTGTATTCACTCTCTGTCCTAAACGGCTTGTTGGAGCTCCTGCCCCCCCCTCCCTATGAGCCCTGTGGCCGTCTGCGAGACAGCGAGACACAACGAAACCCAGCTCGAAACCAGCCCGAGCTCACACACCCGCAGCCTGGCTGGGAGTTTGTGTGTGTGCTCACACACAGACTCACAGCCTCGCCGCGTCCCGCCGTCTCAGGCGGAGAAATCGGCGGAGCTGCAGCTGAGAAAAGATTGAGCGTGTGTGTGAGGAAGTCCGCGGATTGGTCCATTTGGACCAATCCACGGACTTAACGTAACGGCTCCGCGGACGTAGCAGAGCTGTTACGTTACGTTACGTCACTATACCCAAATACGTCACTGTACCCAGGAAGAAAAAGAGAAATCTCCAACGAGGCGTTCTGGGGCAGCATAGACAGGTATTTTCTGTGTTAGAGTTTTACTCCCTACAGGGTGTACTTTGAGGGTTTGTGACTTTGCAGACCGTTTACATGCAGAAAAACCTTCATAACACACAAGGGGACAGGTAATAACCAGAAAAGCATGACATGGGACCTTTAAGCCCATTCTACTCTGATTGGTCAGTGTTTCAGAGGGTTCTGTATCCGTGGTATTGGCATATCTGCCAAGCCCAGAGGAAGTATACAACACAGGGTTTTGAAGCAAGCTACGTGGCCATTTTCGCCAAAAGGGGAAATATTAAATAACAGCTCAGTCATTTGATTCCATTGAGCCCAGAGAGAATTGTTCTCATTGATTGACATTGGAAAACACACATCAGTAAATCAGCGTATGATTTGTCTTTGAAGTACACATTTTTTAATCGTCTTAAAGGTTCCCTATTATACTCTTTTTCAACAATATATTACAGGTCTCAGATATGTACAGAACATGTCTCTGAAGTGTTTGACTGAAACACCAAACAGATCATTGTAGCATCCCATAAACCCCTCTGTTTCAGCCCTGTTCCAAAAGTGCTGATTCTTTGTCTGTAACTTTAAATGCTAATGAGCTGCTGCGGGCCACGCCCCACTGAGATGATTGGTTACTAAAAACACAATGGTGCTCTAGGAGGAGATCCAGGTGATAAGGTGGTCGGGGGTTACCTTGGTTGGTTATAATGGTTGCACAACCCAAAGAACATTGTGACATTACAAAGTGGCCAAAATATGATCAGCTAATTTTCAGACAGGTTTCTATATAGATGGATCAGGACAAAAAGAGAGCGAATATTTTCCCAATCTCTTATCACAGAGGGAAACATAATTATTGATGAAAGACATGAAAAAGTGGATTTTGCATAATAGGTGACCTTTTAAAAAGCGCTAACAGCTGAATCTTCAGTTATTTTCCATCCTCCATTCACACGACGGAGTCAAGATCAGACATCACTGAGCAGCCTGGAAGGGGGGATTGAGGAAAGCTTAAGGGCGGATGACCTTTGGGGCCCATGGATGTGAAAGATCGCCGGAACATCCTGGGAATGTTGTACTTGAACTTGCCATTTTGGCTTCATGTGCAACTTAGCACATTTTTTGTGACATTACAGCTCTATTGGTGCCCTGATGGTTCATAATTCAAAATTCATCAAAATTCAAACAATACTAAAACTCCTCCCATTCTCAGGAGGACATTTTAAAAGTCTTATTCTCATGGCCTGACCTCCTAAACAAGAACTGTTATACAGTAAAACCATGTACTGTTAAACAGCATCGTCATCTGTATTTCTGTCCTTTGTACTATTGATGATCTCCATTTCTTTAAGGGGAATAGGTTAGATTGACAAGCATCAAATGAAACATGTAAATTGCATTTCTTAATAAAGATGTTTTCTGTGTCCAGGTATAAGGACTACAGAGAGCCTCCCTCCTCCAGCTCACAGTATGAACTCTCCAAAGAGTTCTGGGCGGTTCTGGCCGCTCGCCTCGCCTTCGTTGTTGTCTTTCAGGTTTGGAACAACACACAGATATTAATATCACACACACCGTATGCTTCGACATGCTTTCACACAGTCACTTACTTTAACCATTCATATTTGATGTGGGTAAAGAAAGCAAACGTGCAAACAACTCATCCATATTTGATGAGGTGTGTGAGTGAGTGATGTAACTGAGGGATTCTCTGCGGACTTTAATGTGAAAGGTCTTTAAGGGGAACAGGCTGTCTGCTTCCCTTCAGTTCATTTGAATTATCTTGATTTTTATTTTAACTTGATTAATAAAAAAAAAATCTCCAAACAAGGAGAGGACCACTGTCAATTTAAAATAAAACAATAACTCGCTATTTGTTATCATGCCTATTAGCTATGCCTTATTTACATTTCTAACCTACAGTAAATCAAACCATGTTGTTCCTGGCGTATATTTTTTGACATCTGCTCTGTTTTGGTTGGACTTCCTTTCTGAAATGTATTTGTAGATTTTAATGTACTTATACAATCTGTTAGCAGATGGTCAGCTTCTCAAAAAAACGTATCTGTTTTTTGAGAAAATGTTTTATGAGACAGTGTCTACCTTGGAGTGTTTGTCCACTGTGGTGCACCAACTAGTTCATTGTTATACTGTAAAATGTCCCGCTTAGGATGTATCTTTACAATAGAAATAATATTCTTTAAAAATTATGGTGACAAATCTTTTTTAACTTGTTCTTAAGCCAAAATCACAAAGGCAAAACAGTTTGGATCAAACGTATTCAATAATAACTCAACAGGAAAAAAAAGCTAGGATAGCTAATGTAGTGAACCTCATTGCTTTTGCTGCTAACCTACACAAATTACTCTTTCAAATGAAAAGAAACACATCCTCATCCTAACAATGATTAGTTGAGATACAACTTGTTCTGGATTGACCAGTAGCCAATGATGGCTTAAGTTAGCTGATGTTAGCTGTTTAAAATACATTACTAATTAAGTTTAAGTCTCCTCTACTTCTGCTACCAGGCACGGCAGAGGATCTTCAGGCACAATGCTGAAGACTTCAGGCACAATGCTTCAGTAATGACGGGCAATAAGAAGACGCTGATATTGTACTGCTGAGATACTACTACTATGTGCCATAAACTGTGTTTAATATAACTCACAGATCATATAATACTTAGTAAGCACACAATTAGAAAAAGTACCACATAAGCTTTAGATAAGATGTATTAGACACAGGTTTCTTCTTTTTGTTTTGTTTATGTTATTGATTAGTGAAACAGTAATCGAAAAAGGGCCCTTCTTTGAGGTCTATCTGGGCACACAAAATTGTGTCAGCTTGTCACAAATAAACAACAGTTGGACAATAGTTATTTAGCTTGGCTTTATGTTACTAGGCTACTAGGCTGTGTGTTTCCATGCTTTATTTCTGAGGTGTTCCCATCTTCTCTCTGCCCCCCCTCTGCAGAACGTGGTGATGCTCATGAGTGACTTTGTGGACTGGCTGATCCCGGACATCCCCAAGGACATCAGTCTCCAGATGCACAAGGAGAAGATTCTCATGGTGGAGCTCTTCATGAAGGAGGAGCAGGGCAAAAGGCTTGCAGCGCGGGACAACCACAACCAGGACAACTGCAACTCCCCCTCCTCTGCGACGCAGACCCCCCCGCAGCCGCGCTCCAGAACCGCCACGCACGCAGTCGGGTGGGAAAACAAGCACAAGCAGCCAGAAGAAAACCCAGCACCTATATAGAAACTGTAAATACGCTACTTTAAGACAGCTGTTAAAGACCTTAAACACATGATCAGTTTTTAATAATCAGCAAAGCTTTGCTGCATTCATGTTGTTTGGTAATACTTGCAGGAATTAACCTGCAGTTCAAACATTAACGTGTTAGCAGTAGCACTAATTGTTTGCCTCTTTTTATCTTTTTTCCCATGTAAAGAGCAAGCCATACATTAGGCATACATCTAGCCAGTGGTTAAACAATACTCGTAGGATTTAGAATCGCAAAAACATTATTTATTGAAGTAACTGTGTTTGAAGGGAACAAGCCATTAGTTCACTTGACTCTGGGAAAATTCCTTGTCAATGGGATCTTCATTCAGGATTTCCAAACCAAACCCAACCTGCAACTTAATATGAATATTTTTGAGCAGTAGGTTCATAACTGCCACCTTTCTCACGGGACTTGAATGCAGCTTTTATATTAAAGACAGCCTCCGTCCAAATGGCCCTGCTGAGAAGAATTCCCTCCCAACACAACAGGAAGTCCTTTCTCCTGCCAACACTAAAGCTCAGATAGGCCTTTTACCCCGTTTCTTTGCAGAGTTATATACAAATGCAAGAATGTATTGATGTACTGTTTTTAATGCGCAACATGGTCTAGCACATGTGTTTTGGTTGTTGAGATGAACACCAGAAGGTTTTGGAAGACCTTCTGTGTCATCAATTTGTACTCTTGTTTTGTACGAGCACCATTTTGCTCATTGTTACATTTGTTATATTTTGACTATGTACAAACTGTCAAACAGTGCTCTGTGGCATTATTCCTGGAAGCACAAGTCTCATTATTTTTCATTCCAATTAACTGGAAAGCTGTATTTGGCTAGATTTAGAGGATAAACACAAAGTGACGCCACGCTCCTCTCGCTGAGATGATATACTGTAGATACTTCGGGTGTGCCCTAATAACCACGAGAGAAATATTTTCAACACAAGTTTTTAATGAAAATGATTCCTTAAGCTTTATAAATAGATTGTTTAGTGATTATCTTATGGAAGTTGTCAGCACAACAAGTTGAAAACCACAGACTGAATATCAAAGTAAATGTACAGAAGTTACCGTGACATCAGCCATTGGTTTGTAGACTACTGTTTCATGCCTCAAATGTTCCATTTTGGTTGTCACCATTTTGGTTTGCATGATCCATGGAGGAGAGGTACTTTAGGAGCTGGAGAGGAGGGAGGCCGGGCGATGCTAGGTACTGTCAGCATAACAAGCACTAAATTACCAGCTAACGCTAGTGCTGGTTTGCTAGCTTGGTTAGCAAGGTCGATCTGTAATTCATGTTAACTTACCTGCTTTCATTAACAGGGCGCCAATGAATACTTACGTTGCTAAAAATACTGAGTTTGTTAGCATAGTGAAGTAGTGCGTAATCATGGGAGTTGTTGTCTCAACCACCATTGCCGCCACTGCACTCATTTTCTCCTGAAAAATCTTGCGGATGTGAATCCCTAATATCCAGGAGGGTCCACTTGTATAGAAGTCTCTAGGAAAATGAATTTCACTCAATGAAATACCACAGTAAATAATTTTCTAGTGAGTTATCTCAATCACTAGCTCCAAATCTTTAATTTAGCATGATGTTTATTTTGTAAATGATGGTCTGTTTTGAGTTGATGGAAGTTAATTGTAACTGTTTGCTTGCCTGAAATGTTTCTTCTTCAGTTATTGGCTTCACTAGGGATGGGTATCGAGAACCTGATTGGACGGTATTGGTATACCGTTAAGCCGCTGGACAAACGGTGCTGCTATCGGTATATGAATTACGCTACTTCCTTAATTTAAACAATTCTGGTTGGTTGGGAACCCTCATCCCGTGTGACGTATCCGGTTTGAGTACCACTCTGATTGGCCACTGTGAATGCCACTCGTCATCTCTCCTAACAGCCCTCTTATTATTGTGAGACTCCCGGGGGCAGACCATAGGGGCAGACGCAACATCTTGCTAGAAACAGCATCTCAAGGCTTCTTAACATTTAACAACCTATTAATGATGCATACCCACTTAACGGGAAGAAACTCAGCTAACAGACGATATTAACCATTTTACCTACACGGAACAGAAGTCCAACACCAAGAGGCTAAATCAACACTTAGCAAAATGGGCTAACGGGGCTAACGGCTACTTTAGCACATAACTGGCAAAAGCGATATTTTCTACGTCATTTTATCAGCAGCCAGGAAAGAGCAAGTAAACAACTTCACTTTACGTAGCCATGATGATAATGATGTCTTACCTTTGCTGTTTTGTGATCAAGGGCATACAAACGGTTAATCCAATGTCTCTGTGTAACTTTAAAATGATTAATGATAATCCATCATTACAATTATAAATAATAAACGCAATAAACGGATTATAATGGTTAGCCTACCGGAGCTTCCGGTTTTGGAGGTGCGCACGCAGCGTCTCGTTTTAACTGAATAATGGTCATGTTTACATGGATTTATAAACTGCCCCTAATTACCGCCCCCCTTCCAGAGACACACTGTCAAACACACTCAGACCTGCTTGGTATGACATTGAAAAAGTTACATTAAATAATATATAAAATTAAATTACAATAAAATGACTGTTGTTTAATCTTCACATCTTGTAATCATGTCTATAATTTTGAGCACCAAATTATTGAAAAGTATCGATAAGAGAATAGAAAAATACAGGTATCGATAAGCAGTATCGGTATCGATAAAATCCTAACAATACCCATCCCTATACTTCACCCTCTCTCTCCAAGATGATGAGGCCAAGAAACCAGATGGCCGAAAGTGCTACATTTGAGGCTTCAACACCATGCCACCTTTGTGGCCACCTTTCTCACGGGACTTGAATGCAGCTTTTATATTAAAGACAAAAAAGCTTATGTGTCACTAGCCAATGGGTCACTTCATGGTTGCTATATCCACTTCTTGTTTGCAGTCTGCTTCCAGTTAAGATTGGTCATCGTTTAGAAGGTTTTTAGCATGAGCCAAATGATCAGCAGAGGTGTCCTCTCTACAATGAGGGTCAGAAGCTAACTGCTTGTAAGTTCCAAATGTCCCTTAAACTCAATTCTTCATTAGGTATAAATATATATAGTTATAACAAACAAAATCTCAAGAAGATCTTAACAAATTTGGCAAAAAATCCGTTTATGACCGCATTTGCAAAGGGGAAACACCATTACAGATGACTTAAAGAAAACGGTTAAGGACTTCTCTATATTTGAAAATGGTTGAAAACATTTTGCATATTGTATGTACACAACTAAGCAAAGTATGTTACGTAGAACTAGTCTTTTTTATAGACATTTTATTTGCGGAAATGTTACATTTTATAACTTTAAAGTTGTGCACTGAAGATGGATTTCAATGTTTAAAGTCACGTGTGGTGGTACAAATATGTCCATAGTGTTCTTATATAAAATCAGAAAACTGCATCTTGAAACAAATTTGATTGGTGAATGGAACCACACTGATAGCACTATGGGCTCATTACTTAAAGCTCACCTATTATGCTATATTTGAACAATATATTATAGACCATATCTATACAAAACATGTCTCTGAAGTGTTTTGCTCAAAATACCAAACTGATCACCCATTGTAGCATGCCTCATACCCCTCTATTTCAGCCCTGTTACTAAAGTGCTGATTCTGGGTCTGGCCCTTTAAAAGTAACCGAGCTGCTGCTGGCCACGCCCCTTTGGAGCTGCTGCTAGCCACGCCCATTTGGAACGCTCGCATGCAAGCAGTGAGCTCTGTGAAGAGAAGGCTGTCTACCAGCAGAACCTCAAGGATTATTTCTGAAACAGTATGGAGCTCAAACGCTTTCTCTCTTGCGGGTTTACCACAAGGACAGTACCTTTTATATCAGGCTTCTTTACACATACTCTCTCCAGTACAGCGTTAGCTCTGAGTGTTAGCGATGCTTGCTAATGTAAACACAGACCATATTACTTCCAAAACACGTCGCGCATTGTTTCTGATACAGCAAAGTTTCTGATACGGGGCGATAGGTTGGGGCGGAACGTTGCCAGGAGTTCAACGTAAAGCCAGCCCACATTTCCGATATTACGTCATTACCGCATCAAATCTGGATCAGCTCCGTTGTACCCCAATTTTTAGAGATGTGGGTACGGAGGAAAAGAGAGAGGGTTTTATTTTCTGACACTTTGTGAGTCTCTTTACACACCGGGGACACATATTTATGTATAAAATACATAAAAAAGTGCATTTTGCATAATAGGTGACCTTAAGGGGACTCTGCATCTGGCTAACGTAGGACTTTTGAGCTTCTTAAGGAACCTTAAAAGCAGCGCCAGGGTTTGCTCACACCACAGTGACAGTTTTTAAGCGAAGTGACTGATTTACTGCCTTACATTCTCCCAGCCTACTTCAGGAACTCCCTCAACTATTCTGACTTATTTCAGATTTCCATCAGCAGATCAGTACAAAGCAGAGTGTACCAATGGAAAGGCAACACTGTTTATATTTTATTATCTTGCCTTATTTAAAGCTTTGAATGAATTGGCATTTACCTAAAGCTGCAACTCTTTACCTATCAAAGCACAAAGACTGAATAATATTTTGTTTTGTATTTATCAATCTGCAAAAAATAACACAGGGAGTGACTGGATGCCACTTTAATGTTCTGGAAGGAGCAGTCACATGTACACTCCAAACTCACCCATGTGTCGAAACCTGCCCCCTGCTGTATGTATATCAAACTACCCCTGATTTAAGCCCTAAACCAGACTTATAGAATGTATTATCATTTTATTTTCCCGTGATGTATAATCACATTTAGGTCAAAATGTTGTAGATGGAAATGCATTTAATGTGTCAAATGGTTTTATCAGCCCACAGGGGACCACCTATCTATTTAGACTATCACAAAGACAGTGATGTATTTTATCTGATTGTCTTCATTTGAATTATTTAGTGTACTAGAAACTATGAATTTGGACCTCTCGATGTATCTGGGAGTGTGCGTGAGAAAACATCTCCGAATACAGACTACAAAGACATTTTATCACAGAAGATGTTGCTTTTTCTTGGAAGATTACTCGCTTTTTGAGCAAAGACTGCACATTTTATTTTTTACCAAATCTTAATACTCTGTATGTAAGTAGGTTAGTGTTGATATTCAGTGATAGATGCTGTCACAGGGCTGCGGAGCTAGTGTTAGCTACAATGTGTGTTTTCCCTCTTAAATCTCTTATAAGATGATGTCACATGTGAAGCCCCTCCCCGGCGTCCCCCATGAAATGTCCCCTGCCTTGTGTGTCATGTTGTAGTTACAGCATTAATTAAACACTGCAAGTTGTGCTAATATCTATTATAACATGTGTCAAAGCACATTTCACAACATGTGTGAGTGTTTATGCATGTATAACCGATCTGTCTGTCCCTGCGATTTTGAGTCTGTTTTTGGTTCAACTAAATGCAAATAAATGCGAGATGAACTGCCTGCAGCCTTCAGACATTTATTGTAAATTCCTGTATTTGACTTCATGGCATTTTTATTCAATGTACTATAGATCCTCCTGAGACCCACCCATTCATTTTTGTCCTCTGTGGAGGACATTTGGTTTAGGTCCATAACTATGAGGTTATACATGCCACAGCATTAAGTCCAATTGTACTCCACAGAGGACATCCTGGGCTTTTCAGAAATATGACATATGTGGGGGTGTGGCTTTGAAAAAGATAATTTCATTGTATTTCAAAATGGCGTCCATCAACACTAGCACTATTTATAGAAAGAGAAATGGTAAGTTTGTAATTTTGTAATTACCAGTGTTGTGAGGTCAATATTTTAATTAATTATAGTAAGCGAACATCTTAGGAGTTAGTGTAGTGAGTTTCAGAGCAGTGTAATACTTATTTGACCTAAAACTAAATGTTTTTATGAATGTCCTCTGAGGAGGACATGGGGATTTGCTAACTTTTTATTTTACACAACACAAATGGAGTCCACTATGGGCCAAATCTAACACATAGGTTTCTGTAGGGTTCATGGCAGACGGATGCAGTGGGAAAACATACATCAAGTGCCTCAAGTGTCAGATGTATCTCTGCATTTCAAAAAAGGATGGAGTACTACAAATGAGGGCTCAATATTTGTTGCATTGAGTTGTTGTGCTCTAATGTTGTCTATAGGTACTTGTATGTTAATGTTGTTTGTATACTATGCTTCGCATAACTAACACCTGATGTCCTCTTCAGAGGAAACACAATAAAACAAAAATAAAAAATAATTTGTTTAGTTTCTGTTAGTCATTATGTTAATACCACCCTAAAGACTTGTGTGATCTAAAAAAAAAGAGGAAATTTGAAACCTTTCTCTTTCTGGGTCTCAGGAGGATAGAAACACAATATATACCACTAAGATTGTATTATAGCTTATTTTGTGGAGATATACCTTATTTGATAATGTGTGATCATGGTGCATATTCCATGGTTCCCAACCTTTTTTCCCAAGGGCCCACCCAAATGACTCCTGTTGGAAGTTGCGCCCCCCCCCACACACACACACAAGGGGGGGGGGGGGGGGGGGGGGGGCGCAACAGCGGTAAATACAGTTTAAAAGTCTCAAAAATGCTACAACTAGTCACAAACTGGATGAATGTGAAGTATTTTGTTAAAGGAGGATGAAAGCGTAATTAAGGAGCACTATTGGAGTGACTTTGATGGTTATTGGACTCAGGATTAATTAATTTGGATTCCTGCTGTATGAAGAAATTAAAGGACGGCGCAAGTGGAAACAATTCACAAAGGGATTAAACTGTTTAAAACACATGCTCAAAGTAAACCGGATTTTGCCGATGTGTTTATGTGGGTTCAAAAGTCGTAAATAATCTACAAAATGGAGGAGACCGATCTGATCGGAGCAACTGTGACATGGACAATGACTATGTTTTAAAAATGCGCTTATCCAGACAAGCCTGGTTTGGACACTTTACGGGCAGAAGAAACATTTCTATTAAAGAAAGAATTATACATTTCTGTCTTTTTATGCCTATAATAGCTACTAACTTGAATTTTCATTAAAATGAATGAATCAATTATTTTGTATATTTTATTGTAATGTAGAGACAAGGCTTTTAGCGACAATCATGTATTGCATTACAATTATATGTAAAAAAAAAAATTTTAAAAAAAGTCTAAATATGATATTTGGCCTCAAATCATCTGAGGCCTGGCGCCCCCCCCAGGTTGGGAACCACTGCTTTAATTGATACACATATAATAATTTGGTGTTGGCAGGCATATTCTGTCTACATATCTGAACTCGTAATGTAAGTGTGAAATTGTCCAATAAGACTCACAATAGAAATAGCAAATATGACTGACGGAAAGCACAACACCTTGTATGATTAGAAACATGCCAGGGGAGGTAAGGATTATGAGAATAAAAATGAATCAAAATAAAATAAAAACATTTTTTTATGAAATTAGGTCAAAAATAATAAGCATTATAATCAAAATAGAATTGCAAAAACTGAGTAAATTGATGCCCATACTCTTTAAAAATGTGTATTCAAGTTGTATACACAAAACTGTTCGAACAATGAACAAAAAAGAAGAATAAAACAAATATAAAACAAAAGTTGATACAAATAATAATTCAAAACTAAAACGATGCAAACTTAAACAGTGGAATAAAACACTCCATATTGTTATAATATTTTAATAAATATAAACCCTAAACAGAAAAAAAAAGCAAAAAGTGATAAAAAGTTGTTATTGCGTTCTCGTGTATAATATATTGTTATGGTGGTGCCATATTGCTGTGGTTTTTGGTAGGAGTGTTAAAAACTCCGTTTGGATTCAGTCCATCCTTGTGCAAAAAATAATAATACAAAATTCTATCACATCATCTTCAAATGATATGCACATTTTATCCTTACATTTTTTATTGATTTTCATTTTAAAATAATATTCATGTGTGCTCTCTTCTTGTAGCTGACATCAGTTGTCCAGATGTGACTCAGAGCAGGTAGGAGTCACATTCAAGGAAGTGACCGGAAAAGTAACAAACAAGAAACGCTAAGACACAGTAGAGGTAGGATCCAAACCAACACTAATGCCCCTTTCACACCAACGCAACTCCGGTTCAAGCTCCGTGCTAGAGCTTTTCTGGTTCAGAACCGGTTCTTCGGTTTAGCGCCGGCTCTTTTCACACCGCTCAGAGCCCGACTGGTGCTGCCGCTGCTGCGTCATGACGTCACAGTTTACGTCGCTGAGTTTCTCCCCAACGCCGGAGCTCACTTCACAACAACAACGGGCCGGGGACTGCGTTGCTTTTAATCATACGAAGCCAGATTAAATTAAATAACGACTTCTCCAACCTTATACTTTTCTCCAGAGTGCCGTGGTTCATTGTTTATTAATGTGTTTCAGCGGCATTTACCGACCGCTGCAGTGCTGGCCGGCTGCTCTTCAACGGGAGTGTATTCTCCCGTTAGCTCCGGGTTAGCTCACACGGCTCTAAAGTATTCACTGTCTGACTGTCACACAAGCAGCTGATACATATCCCCAGTTCCCCTTAAGTGAATGTGTGTCAGTCTGAATTGACGCTGTTTGGTGTCAGTCTGAATTGACGCTGTTTGGCATCACAACGCTGTTATGAAAGTTTCTCTGGTATAACATGGGTGATGTTAGCATAGCAACCGAAGCTAAACTGACTACTTGCTAAGCAGTTTTCTACAGGCACTTTTTACCGACGTATTTTTCATTATGATTCTACTTGTGATAGTCGGACATGACAACCTGTGCAGCCCATGTATTGATTCCATCCGATAGCTGCTATAATAACTAACGTCTGCCTGCTCTCCACAATGATCAATAACAGCGAACGGATGGTCAAAGTAAGGTACAAATAAACAGAATCACACGAAGCCTGGTTAGTGTTGCCTGACTTTATAAAGTGTGTTTTTTTTAACAAGTGTGTGGTTGCGTTCTAGTCACTTTGCTCAGCACTACTGCTTGTTACAAGTTTTATTTGCCGTACTCGCCTTAAGTGTTAGCTCAGGTTAATCTCGCCCCCCTCCGACGTAAGCGTGACGTATGCGGTTCTTGCTTCTAGACGGACAACTTTTTGGTGCTCGAAACGAACCGGATTCCGGAGCTATGACGCTGCTCCGCTGCGGTGTGAACAGGAAAACCCGGTGCTTTTCAAGCACCAGCACCGAACCGGCCCTGAAACACCGTTGGTGTGAAAGGGGTATTAAAGACGTAACCAGTGGCGGAAACTGGAAAGCAACTATGTACAATTAATCAAGTATTGTACTTAAGTACTTTTTTGACACATTTGTCATTTCCATTTTATGCTACTTTAAATCTCTACTCTGCTACATTTTAGAGGCTAATATCTTACTTTTTACTTTTTAATTACATTTATATAAACACTCACCTTTACGATTTTATTTTTTACATATAAAAACACATGATATGCTGATATGGTGTAATGCAGTACAGTACTACACATCTACACAGTATTTCAAGTTTTCTAAATTTGGTCCACATTCACAAAACACAATACTAAAAAGCTCTTACATGTATAAAAACAGGATAATATAATAACTGTAATAACATAATACTGTGAAAATATCCATTCGGCATAACCAGCGGTTTTACTGTTGATATTATAAAGACATTTATCAGATTCTTTATTATTATTTTTGAAATGGGCCATGGGGCAGAATGAGTACTTTTACTTTTAGTGTATTTTGATGCTTATATTTTTGAACTTTTACTTAAGGATTTTATAGTGGATTATTTTAAGATCCTAGTATTTGTACTTGTATCTAAGTAAAGGATCTGTGTTCTTCTTCCTGTGATTTTTTTTGTTTTGTTTATACATTTTCTAGTTCATGTTATGAATGATTATGTACTCATGTTTGTTATTATGCTCATGCCAATAAAGCTATTTGAAATGAATTGAATGGATCAGCTGCACCAGCGCCATATAGCTAGAATTCTATTATATGGCTCTGAGCTGCACTAACCGACAGAGCAACAGGCGGAAGTGAAAGTGAAACGGTGCTTCCTCCTCCCTCCCTCCCTCCCTCAGCTGCTCGGTGTCTCGGCGGAGGCTCACCGTGAACACCGACATGAGCTCCCTCCAGTTCAACAGCCTGCTGCTGGACATCTCCAACCAGCTGACGGAGAAGCAGCTGGAGGACTTGAAGTTCCTGTGCGGGGACATGCTGGGGAAGCGGGAGCTGGAGAAGATATCCAGCGGGGTCCGACTCTTCCTGCTGCTGACCGAGAGAAGGAAGCTCGGAGCGGACAACACCGACTGCCTGAGCCGCTTCCTCACACAAATCCAGCGGCAAGACCTGGCGGAGAGGTTGGAGAGCTTCGAAAGCTTCGAGAGTCAGGCCGAAGCGAGCGACGACCTGCCGGACAAAGAGGAGAGAGGTGGGCTACAGTCACACTGCTACCTACTGTTTGTAGTTCCACAGAGGGTGTTACTCCTCTAGGACTACAACTCCCATACCATAGACTGAGTACACATTACCATTGGTGTACAGTAGCCTAACTAACTTCCCTACTCGACACAGACACTCTTGTACTGTATAGTATTTCAATTCCATGTTGCTATACTTCTACTCCATTCAGGCAAACACAGTAGGCCTACTATTTACTCCTCTAAATGCATTTCAACAAACAAAGGCTTTAACTATTTATATACTTTGATGAAATTCACAATGTCTGTAGGCCTATATTGTAAAATAAATAAATAATAATAATCCATGTTTATTATTCTAAAAATGAAACGTTGTTCACTATTAAAAGTTATTTTCGTACCACAGTACATTTGATGCTGTTACTTCAATACACAAGTCACTAAGTAATAAGTACTTTAAATGCAGGACTTCTATTTATTTTTTATTCAAAAAGTACATTTATTAGAAAACATATAAATTCAACATTCAAAAGCTTTATTTGTCATGCACATGAGCTACAGCACAGTGTTGGCAATGAAAGCCTTAAGACAGTAAACTTAATTGTCTTATTTAATGATTTATAAAAATACATTGTGAAAAATGCAAGTATATATTTACAAGATATATATGTAAGAATTGAGCAAGTGACACAATGGTGCAAGTTAAATGCAGGAAAAAAATCAAACAAACAAATATATGTTAACTATATTGAATTAAAACAAAATGTAATATTTAATATTGTACAGTGGAACAACATACTGCATATTGTAATAAGTAATTATGTAGACTGTAAATAGATCAATGTGTTTTAAACACAAGTAGGTGGAGTTATTTATTTCCCAGTTTATTTACTTATTTAGATGAATAACACAACATATAAGGAACTAATCATTTATCATGTATTTGTATAGGTTAAAATAAACAATTTTAGTACTTTGAGAGTCATGAAATATTACCCCAGTCTGGAACTCAGTGTGTGATAACATTAGCTGTCATAGGCATAAGCTGCAATGCATCTAGAGAAATTAGTGTCTCTGAACTTGCAGTGGCCCTTCACATTGCCGCCTGATGTGTAAATGAAACAGCTGTTTCAACTGGAAAAACATCAGGCAGCAACATTTTAGTGTCATGTTTGGAGACGATGCTAATATCGTCTGCGCAGGTAACTTATGACTATCTGAAAATTATTATTTAATTATAATTATTTATTAAAAAAATAAAATCCGTAAGAGAAATGTGAACATTGGTTTCATTTTTTTAATATAATTTTAGAGTCAAATGCTTTAACTAAGGAAAACTCGTTGGACCCATGCATACTGTATAAATGAAAAAACTACCATCAGCATTTAAAAAAAAACACATCTATTTTCACCATGATTAGATATGAAAATGAGGCCTTCTCTAATGCTAACTTTTGTTCAATTTAGGAGAAATCTAAAGACAAAAATAAACCAAGCTGGTAAAGTAACACTAAAATGTGCTTTTTGGATGTTATTGGTTCTAGTCTGAAAGAACATTTCATTGGATAAAAATAGCCCAAACTCTCAAAATGTAACAGTGCATAAAAAACAATTGTTTTGTCTGTACAGTCTTCCCTTAAGTTGTAGTGTTTGCAGTCCCACATTTTCCTTGAACAAGTCAGATGGATTGTGGATCAGCATCATACTTTTGTGGAGCTATCAGCATGTGAAAATGAAATGACCATGTAAGAAGCGGTCTTGTTTTTGGAAGAATGCTTTGGGAAAAAATAGCAAATACATCTTTAGGAGATTTGTTTGAAACTGCTGACTTTTAAATTAGCTAAATAAAATGACAATAAAATGACAAATCGCCCAACGCTCAACTGTTCCAAATTGTTCCTGGGAAGGGTGTTTGAGTAGATGAGTTTCATATTTGCCTGAGTATACTATATTTCAGAATGTATTATAATTAGAGAAATACAAATGATTTTTCTCCTGCCAACCCATAATGCCTCCTCCTCCTTTCATCAGATAAACTGGGCATCGCCACAGAGGTGATCGTGGAGAATCTGGGAAGGAATTGGCGTAAACTGGGCCGCAGACTGGGCCTGACGGAGGTGAAGATAGACTCCGTCTCCAAGAGGCATCCCACAGATCTGGAGGAAACAACCAGGGAGCTGCTGAAGGAGTGGAGGAGGAGTCGGGGGGCCCAGGCCCGGACCCAGGAGCTGATCCAGGCCCTGAGAACCTGCATGCTGAACCGCACCGCCGACCAGGTGGAGGACAGCCTGCCCTCCTGTTGAGGATCCACACAACAGTCTGACAGAACTGTGAGGGCTGTGATTAAACTACAAGAAACAATATCAAGAGAATGATACGCAAATATATAAAACTATGCAAAATAAATTATACATATAAATCAACTAAATGAATGTCAATGGTTCATGTTTTTTATCAGATAAAAACGAAGAACAAAACTTTCATTAAGAAGAACCTTTGGAAAACTAAAATACTCAGGACTTTAAAATGAAACAAATACTTAGTAGGTCAAATCCAAAATATACACAAGATAAAATCATTGGGACGATCTCCACAAATGCCATCAGTTTATGGTTTTAAGGAGCATTCTCCTATGATGATGAACCTGTTTCAGTAGCCCCTTGTTAAATTGTGCACTGAAAAGTAGACGAAAGGGAAATGGTGCTACGAGTGCACGTTTAGTACTGACTTCAATACAGAGGTGCAGTGATGACGTATTTTAGTAGGCCGACCGGGAAATAAGCATGTCTTTATTTAGATTATTGCAGAAAATAAGTTCTGTGGCAAACACACATTTATGATACTTACACATTTTGTTCAGCAGGATAATGCCCACATAAAAACAACACTGTTATTATAGTTGAAGCGTAAATTCAATAGCCAGAAGTAAAAAGCTAACGTTAGGCAATAAATGAACGACATCACAGTTCAGTCACCAGCGCTATCAGAACGCAGTACTGTGTGCCGTATCATCACATAGAAGTGTTGATGAATGAGCCTCCAGACATGTGACTTCAGATGATGTTATTATGAGGAGCGGTCAGGCATTTGGGGAACTTTTGTTAAAAGGTTTTTATCATTGTTGGGTAACAACAATGTAATGGTGTTATGTCATTTATTTACAAAATAAATGTTGTAATTTGTTATCTAAGTTACTGAAACCGTTAATAAATTACAGTTGATAATCAAAATGTTGGTGATTACAAGGGGTTACATTTGAGTGTATTCTTTTTGGTAAAGATGCATTACTTTTTTTTTTGTCACATTTTTCCACACAAGTAAAGCCTTTAAGACTTTTCTGTGTTTTTTTGGTTTGTTCTCTTGTTTGAATTTCCACCACCTCTCTTCTACTCATCAATGTGCATTACTCTAAGCCTCCTGAGTCTGGGTGCAGCCGGACGGGGGGGCATGTCGTGGGACTTTCAGTAAAAGCCAACACTATTTTCCTTCTGAGATCAGATCTTTGACGTTTTTGCAACGTACAATGTTTTGTTTATTGCACTGTATTTTGTCAGACTTTTTACATGATGATAATCAGAAATGTGACTTAACGTTTAATATTGAGATTTTTGAAATATATTTTTGACATATTATAAAATGACAAATGTTCATATTTCTTAACGTACTATATTATGCAATTACTTTTTTATATTTTTCAACATGGTCTAAAAGGATTTTTTTCTTTACAACAAGATATAACTTCTTCCATGATATTGTCGACATGCTATACTATTGATTTTTTTTACACATACGATATTACAGTATGACTTTTACATTTGTTGGCATAATATACAATTAGTTCTCTCATTTTTGTTTTGACAAACTACACCATAGAGTCTAGACTATCATCTTTTCATATTTTTTAACATACTATACAATTACTTTTTTCATTCTATTTTCAATATAATATACTATGAGTGTTTTACATACAGAGAATCGCTTCACCAAGTCGACCAACTGTAGCAGATCTCAAAGCTGGCTGATGGATTGCCAAAACTGAAAAACATGGCTGGTGTCGGCGCTTGTTTTGATGTGCAGCAGGGTTTTCTACGAGCTGAGCGTGCCTTATAAACCCATTTTTGTAAACATATGCATAGAAGATGTGTAAATGGTAAATGGACTGTACTTATATACCGCTTTATCCAGTCTTTACGACACCTCAAAGCGCTTTACATACTACATGTCATTCACCCATTCACACCCATTCATACAGAGCAGTGTACCTTACTCTAGGAACTAACATTCACACACATTCACACACCGTTGGCTATGCCATCGGGAGCAACTCAGTATCTTGCCCAAGGATACATCGACATGTTGGCTGCACGGGCTGGGATCGAACCCATAACATTCTGGTTGAAAGACGACCGCACTCCCTCGCAGCCACAGTGTGTGAGGCTGATAGCGTAAGAGCGTTGACCTCAGTCCCAGACTGGCTGTTCTAAATCTTTGTGCTAAGCTAAGCTAACCAGCTGCTGGCTGTTACCTCATGATGGCAGGTGTGACATGCAGCGATAGTGAAGTTCTCAGCTGCTATTCTGACAGGAAATGAATAAGCATATTTTCCAAAATGGAATGAATTAAATGTAATTCACTGTAATTGTTTTATTTTATGATCATAAGCCATCAAACAAAATATGAGTGTAATGAGATGCTATTTGAAATTAATTGTCTCTTTATCATGTCCAGAATCTACACAGTGCTTTTGTAATTTGCCATTTCATTAAACAAAGATCTGCATGTGGTGCTCATGCATTTAGCAGGTTTATTGCTACAGGACAACCCAAACTGCTCCTTGTGAAATCCTCTCTGCCTTAACTGCATGTCTTGATGTCATCAGGACGGCAGGTCAAAGGTCTTTTTCAGTTTCTGCAGAAGAAATGCATGTCATTAGAGGAACTTGTATAGATAGTTGCTTGCTGTGTTAATTGTTGTGATGTTGAGTTAAAATTGAAGGGGGATTCATATGTTTGTCTCGAAAACAAAACTTATGCTGTCCTTATTATTCCTATCCTGTCATCCTGTGACGGTGGAGAGAATCCACTAAAGTTTATCTGAAGTTAATATATCTGAATTAGACTAATCAAACGGATGTGCTCCAAAGTTAGCCTTTTTAATATAAAAGTCCCGAATTTTTGTAATTCAATTATTTTTAACCATTTGTTGTGTATTTACCTCAAGAGACGCAAGTTTGAGGCATAAATGTAAAGATTGATTTTTATTTTACCGTTCTGTTCTTATGTTATTGAGATTTTTTCTTTTTCAAATATAGCTATTTTATTTTATAATGGGGTATTTTTTGGGAATCATGTATGACCTGTAATCAAGTGGGCATTTTTTAAATAAACATATTTTTTATAAATCATATTTTGTTATAATTTGAAATCACGTTTACACGTTCACATTTTGTTTAGTATGCTACAGTAAGTTAACCAAACCAGATTTCTCCCTGTGGAAGCTTTGCCTGTAGTTCATCATCTTCCAGTGTGAAATAATGGGTAGCTTGCAAATGCTTTCAAAGTATTGGCAACACTCAATTTAAATGAAATAATAAATCATTTGTGCAGGTTCTGTGAATTTTGTCCCCCATCATTTGCACTGGAAGCACTCTTCCCACAAAGTGTTTCTGTGCTCCTCTGGGCCCCTGACTGGTGTAGACTTTAAAGATTTGTTATCCTGTATTGGCACATCCATATAAGGCAGTGGGTTGACTTAGCTGCCGGCATCGCTTTACTGTGACTGTGTGTGTTGTACGTTTGTCTTCCACCCAGCTGAGCCCCGGTTCACTTACAGCACTGGTAGAGTCTGTTCAGCCTGTCGATGTCGTTGTTGCTCATCTGGGTGGCCTGTCCGAAGGGGACGTTGCTGTTGGGCAGCATGGTGGGGCGGTTGTTCTTAGAGAAGGCGTACCTGGAGAATCACAGATTCAAGTTTGATGACCTCCAGTAGGCCTGTCACAATCACTAACTACTATTGTTGGACAACATATTCTCCCAGGAATAACCACAATGGTACTAGTCTCATTTTAAGACCATTTAATGCCACCGAAAACAATGAAATAATGTATAATGATGGGTGTTCATTCTAAAACAATGAATACAATGAATTCTCAGATTCTGTTAACGAAAATATGCAGTGTCTGCAATGACTAGGTCTAGTGGTAGGGAAACAGTGCCGTTTATTCTGGCAACATGTTGACTACAATGTTGGTGACATTCTTTTAAACAAACACGCTTATAAACACAACGGGCAATATTAAAGGTGGGGTAGGTAAGTTTGAGAAACCGGCTCGAGATACACTTTTTGTTGTATTCCATGGAATGCTCTTAACATCCCGATAGCAATGAATATCTTAAGTGCTTTGACAAAAAATCCATAAAAAAATGTCATCTGTGGAAGCCGTAGTACTGTAAAAAGCACGACCAATCATTTTAGCCGGCCCGGCTAAAATAACTGGATGGCCTACCTGCCTGTCAGCCTTCCATCTGTGCACAAACTTATCTCGTGCCCTCATTGGTCATGTGCGCGTTTGTGTGTGTTAGAGGAGGGGCTCTGTAAGGAAGTGGCAGATTTTTGCCGGCTGTGTATTTTCTAGCACACTCGAGCTGGTTTCTCCAAAATTACCTACCCCACCTTTAATAAGTAACTTAAAAATAAATCTAAGTCAAGTCATTGAGTGTACAGTCAATGTATATCCATTCTTCCTGGGTCTAGTCTGAAATGCTTACAGCAGCAGAGGTTAGTATCACTTGGGAGCCACGTTGAAAGAACTGCAACTTTGTTGGCACTTTTGTTACATTTGATTTCTAAGAATCAGAGTTAGCTGCTGGATGCCACCTGGGACTGATTCCCCATACCCAAGCTGCTATTTGATTGTTGTTAAGTGTCGTGGTGTTTCTTTTAAAGATTAACCGCAGTCACCATTGAGGTGTGGATTATCTTCTACAGCACACCCCTGAAAGTCTGCCTTATAAAGAAGAGAGTGTATATTTGAGATTAAACACTTAGTGCCAACCAGACAAAGGATATAACTGCTGGTAAAAGTTATCACATTTAGTATGGAGTGGTTCTCCTATAACTCGTAGCTTGTCAGACGCATTTTGTATCCCATGAAGCAACAGGACAGTTGTGCTTGCTTGGGAATGACAGGGAAATAAAATACATTAAATAAAAATATGTTATCTCTGCCTCTGCTACATTGGTTTTGAACCTGACCTTGTAGAAGTAGTACTATGATGAATCAGTAGAGTGCTCTTAGAAAATTCCCCCAAAATGTAGACGTTCAAATAATTCAGTGTGTTTGTTAACTACTTTTAAGACGAAACACCAATCATGATGATATTGTCAAACCATCGATGACGTTTTCCAGGTACACCCTGATGTGGTTGTCTCTGTCAGAGCGGGTCTGCTCGTGGTTGAAGCCCAGAGCGTGGAGCTGGACGCTGCTGTGATACAGACACCCGCTGCGGGCCAGAGACACCGTCTGACCCCCCCCTGACGACCCACGTAGGAGTAGCAGCTGTAGACACAAAAAGATAGATAGATCTAAATAATACACAATATAACAAAAATATGGAATAAATTAAATACTTTACAGTATACAATCTCACTGAGCTACAGAAATATATATAAGTATACTACAGACATATATTGGCATTGGATTATACATTACAATAGTGCAATACTGTAGCCGTTACATAGAGAATGCAATAATTGTATAGGCAATTGCTTGCTTTAAATAACACATTAACAAGTATACATTTGAGTGTGTGGTTTAAAATGTTTCTGGTCTACCAAATGCCAGCAGAGCATTTGTGGGTTATTCCTGGGTGAGATAGTCATTAGAAGTCTGATTGAGCTGTGACTATAAAGATGGATGCATCGGTCCCTGTGGGAACACATTATATAACAGTCAGTGCTTACAGTAGTGGTTGGCGATGTAGTATGGGATGTAGACCTTCCCATCCGTCCACTTCTGTCACAGGCAGCCTCTGGAGGTGCAGGGGTCAGCGTTTCTTTCGGCCTCAGAGTTGATAGCGATGTCTCCTCCGATCAGGATGGGCTCATCGATGTCAGGGTCTGCAGGACAAACACAGGTGTGGATGTGAGTGGGAAATACACAGTTAGAAATTAATACAAATCTAACATCAATGGCCTGACCATTAAAGTTTTACAAGTCAATAGTGACTCTAGTTATATGAGGATCTACAGTATAAGTGGACATAATGTCTTTGATGTCCCACATTGTGTGGTGGACTACAAGTTGTTTTTATTTCCACAGAAGTGACACCAGAGG